TCTTTCTAATTATAAAACATTTAAAATATAAAATAAGATTTATGAAATACCAATAACAATTCATTTTTCTAAATAGCGTGATGAAAACTTTAGAATTTGAAATTATACTACCCTTTCCTACTTTAGAATTTGAATTTATACTACCCTTTCCTTTCTTCATTGGGACTTGTCATGGTCCCGTCGGCTAGAGTCCCAGCTGTCTTACGCGGCAACTGCAAAACAGAGCATCCACGCTATTTCTCTCCACACGCATCCCAAATCCCTCTCCCACTCCCTCTCGAACTTTACATTCCTCCTACCCTATAAATACCCACCCACCTTTCTTCCTCAACTTCCTCATCAATCAAACATTCAAATTCTCTCTACACTTTAAAAGTATCGGTTTTGCGAATTGGGTTTTCGAGTTTTGGATCATCTGATCAGAAAAATACCTTCAGGTTCAAGAAACATGAATTCCTTGTTCAGTTCGTTCGATGCCTTGTGTGCTGAGATCTTGGGCCAGATGGTGAAGTCCTCCTTCCCTGCACACCAGCTGAAGAGTACTGCCGCAGTTCCATCTAGCAACACGGTTAATACAGCGAAGCAAGAGGGAAATATGGAGTCATCGCCGGAGGCTCGTGTGAAGAAGCGGAGCCGGAGGACGCCGCCGCGGTTCGCGGTGGAGCTGGACGGGCTCAACTGCTTTGAGACACTCGTCTCTCGTTAACTACACCGGCTGCTGTAATTTTAACCCCCGTCTTCCCAGATTATATTCAAATTCTTGCACCAAAGTATTCGTGTATATGTTAATAGGATATACCACAATTCTTTCATCTCTTTTTTTCTCCAAATTTGTGTTAATTTTTTTGGTACCTATAAATCAAATTTCGAAGAGTTTTCATAAAGTAAGTTGTATTTTATTTTATTTGCTTTGTTGCTAAAGTTTACAAACGCCGCCTGCTATGTGGAATTTTGCCTTCCAATCAACAAGAAACAGGGAGGGAAATTGAAAACTAGGTTGAATATATAAAGTGTACACTGTACAGCTTAAACTTGCACCCAATTAAAGCGATTTAAATTTTAGGGACTGTATATGGTACATGCATTATATACTATACGTAGCACGTAGCAATTTTGGCATTCCTCTTTTATCGGTATTTACTTCGCGAGTAATGCTAGAAAGATTAAATTTGTAGATAAAGTTTTAGAAACTAAAGGACATGGAAGTTGTTAATTGGTTTATTAGTTAATCATTGATAAAAGTCTTCATTCCTATTGATGACGCATCATTTAGTTTGCAAATTTAGTTTCAATTGCTATTTATACCATGTTTTTACACCACATTTCTATATCACCTTAGATTGTATCTGATGTGGACAGTCACATTATTTGAAAAATTTGCAAAATCCAAGGAAATGAATGAGAAAGATTCTTCGTATACTATAATTATCATTTAATTAACTAGTTTTTCTTAATTATTTGTTTATTAAATAATGAACTAAATTTAAAATTTTGATTAATTCAAATAATGTGGCTATCAACATCAAATGTCACCTAAGATAGTATGAAAATGTGGTACAAAAATATGGTATGAATAGCATTACCCTTACTCCGCATTCTGAATTGAATATTTTACTATTTTAAAGTGTGTAGCCATGTTGATTTGCATGGGTAACACATCTTCTACAAAAACATAGGAAGATGGGCAGATCGGCTTGAAGTACTCTCCGTACTTGGTGTGCCTAAATGCATATCGGATTGGGACAAGGATGTCGGGAAAGAGTTTTTGGACTCTCTGCATGACTCAGAAGAAACATGACTCAAAACTTCAATCCTGCCCTATCATGCCTTGTCTGATGATCAAAGGGCTCGTTTGGTGCATACGAATGAAACGTGAGTCACTAACTTATAAAACTTAATTTATATTGAAGGTTAAATTAGAAAGCTCAACTCTTCTAATCTCACTTTTTATTGAGTAATTCATATTCAGTCTTCAAGTTATTTAACATTGAGTATAGTAAGTTATTTATTTCAATCTAATCTTGAACACCAAATAAGTTCAAATTGAATATGATGTAAGCTAAATAGTCAAAATGGTCCCTGAAATTTGTATAACATATCAATTTGGTCCCCGAAATTGAAAATCAATAGAAATGGTCGCTAAGATTGTCCACCATCCATCATTTTGATCATTCCATTAAAAACTCTGTTAAGTGTCCCGGAGCTCTTGGCCGGAAGTTTGGGCAATTTTCAAAGCTTCGTAACCCAATCGTTTTTTAACCAAATTCGACTTATAATATATCAAAATGAAGATAGAAAAGTTTAGAACAAGATTATACCATTTGAAAGTCCAATGATTACTGGAGATGGCCGGAAAATAACCTCAAAGTTGATTGGTTTGCGGGAAAATTGAAAAAAATCGCTGGAAACTGGGTGAACTTTAAACATTTATAGCTTCTTCAATACTCAACGAAATCAAGTGATTAAAAAATGAAAATCATACTTCTCGACAAGATGAAGAGAATGGTACCTTTCTTGACAGCAAATTCACCGTGGTTTGACCGGAAAACCGCTTGAAAGTGGCTACCTATTTTTGAAGCCATTTCCGGGCAAACCACAATGAATTAGCTGTCAAGAAAGGTACCATATCTCTTTGTCTCATCGAGAAGTATGATTTTTATTTTTGAATCACTCGATTTCGTTGAGTATTAAAGAAGTTATGAATATTTAAAGTTTACCCAGTTTCCAGCGAGTTTTCCAGTTTTCCCTCTGACCAGGCAACTTTGAGGCTATTTTCCGGCCATCTGCGGCAACCATTGGTCTTTTAAATAGGTATAATCTTGTTCTACACTTTCCTATCTTCATTTTGATTTATTATGGGTCGAATTAGGTTAAGAAACGATTGAGTTACGAAGCTTTGAAAATTGCCCAAACTTCCGGTCAAGAGCTCTCGGACACTTAACGGAGTTTTTAACTGAATGACCAAAATGATGGATGTTAGACAATTTCAGGAACCATTTCTATTGATTTTCAATTTCAGAGACTAAAGTGATGTGTTATGCAATTCTCATGAACCATTTTAACTATTTAACCTATGATGTATGTTAACTCACCAAACAAGGCCTCAAAGTGAACAAGTTCAGAGTTTTTTTTCGAAAGATGACATTTGCAAACCCGAACGACATCGTTTGGGGCACATGTAGGATATTATCTCAGAAATATCAGCCGAGTCCTACGGCATCACTTGGAACTTGGATTCATATATAATAATAATATAACCACACAAAATATCAGCAGAAAATATCAAAGTGTGATATTCTCTTGCCCAATAACATTTCATTTATCATTATCAGCACAATGTCAGCATCGCTTCATGAGTTTCTGTTCCGTGATGAGACACATAGAGAGAGCAAAATAGTGAAACAGTTACACTTCAGAATTTTTCCTCGAAGAATATCCATATTGCTGAAAACCCGGCTGGCGAGGCCTAATGGAAAGGAAAAAGATGGATCAAGTAGTAGTCAAGCACTGGCAGAGCCACGTTATGGGCTACCTTGGGCTATAATTCAGGTAGCTTTACGTGAAAAATAAAATTTTACATGTAATTTTTATTAATTCTTTAAGTCAGCTCACTATATATTTAGTCATTAATCTGAATTCTCTCGGTATAGTTATATAAAATTATACGATATAGTTTACAAACCGGCTCCTTTTCTGACATCTTTTTTCTCGTCACTTTTTGTACATGTACAAATTTAGATTTGTTTAAATTTTAACACTATTTGTTTAATAACGAAAAATTCTTGGCTCACCTTGTGAAAATTTTCTTAAGCAAGCTGATATTGTGAAAAATACAGTATCAAGTTTTTTTGTTATAAAGATTTAAATCTTTAAACTAGCCCACTCGATGAAAAATTCGTAACTCCAACATTGTAGTCGAGGAGGCTGTTAATTCACAGATGGTAGTAGAGATTGTTTTTCTAGATCCCAAATGTTCATGTCTAGTTTCTAACCAGCACAAATCCTATGATTCAACTTTGTGCTTCCCACTCGCTAGGAACATCAACTTTCGACTTGCATCTCACTGTGACGAATAACGTAAAAATTGAATCAGAACAGCAGCAGCCTCTTAAGTTTCCACTTGTACCTTTTCAGTAGCAAATGTTAAGTTGCGACCAATGCAAGGGCATATGGTGCGGTGTTATATATCACTCATCACGTGATGTTGAAGGATTAAGTTTTTTACACGGATCTAGAACTCTACTTTTGGAGGAGGACTTGGGCTGTCTAGATAAAGGGGGGCCAATTGCTGAATGATCGATTGCTTGGACTTTATTAGAACAGAGACGACAGATCCGTCAAAGAAGATATGAGTTGAGAGCCGACTTTGAGGCTGCTGTGATTGTATCAACCGTGACCACAATCCTCCATGATTTTATGTTGTGCTCCCTGCTGGACCACATGCATACAATGCCACATATTTTTCCGACCCCAAAATTTGGTGACTACTTCACCAAAAAAAATAAATAAATAAATAAAAATAAAAATATTGGTGACCACTAACTTTACACGTTTGGGCTCCAATTAGATAGACACGTGGTCGGTTGTGATTAGTTTTATGTTTTTATATAAACTAAGATTAAACTTCTTCAACAGCTTTTCTAATTCGAGAGATTTTTCATTGTGTCAAAACACTACAATTGATTAGAAACTTAAAATAAACATCTTGCAACCAATTGTATTATGACAATTGGTGTAATGATCCGTATTTCAGCGCATTGAAAAATTTCTCGTCTAATTCCTAGATCATTAGTATAGTGATTTTCCCTCCATTTTTTTCCTCATGCACTCTTATTTATTCAATCTACAACTATAAAATAGGAAAATGGTGTAAATGGAGAAAATAGAGCGTGAAAATCTTTTCCGGCTTCTATTTGGGAATGTGATTAGCGTTCACATGCAGTTTTCATAGTGAAGTTCTGTACGCAGAAAAACTATGAAGCAGTTCAAGATCAATGAAGTGAAAGAAAATGCAACTTTAAAAGAACCTCTAGGTTACTGTCATTCTTGCAGCACAAGAAATCCTTCAATCACATTTCCAACTTTAACGAATACGGCTATACGATCACTCTCCCTCTTTTCCCAAACATTTCTATTGCTTCTTTTTCTCTGATGTTCTACAATTAAGTTATATTCATTGCTCTAACAAAGAGAACAAGGAATAAGAGCTCAAATCGACTTCTCTTGAAATGGGGCAAAGCGCGGAGATCCACCATTGGGCTATTCCTCACTTCGCTTGACGATGGCATTAGCTGACGCCTCTGGAATCAGAACCTCCTACCGATTTTTGCAAATCTTCGGGCTACTCCGAATATAACTGCCTTTGTTAAGAGCCCTCGGTCAAGACTACAGGCAAGGGCGATAGCCCCACCGATAATTAGAATCTTAGGTATCGTCTTCCCTTCTGGTTTCTCCGATGAGTCCGACTTATCTGATTTTTCAAGCGCCATGGAATCGCTGGTGCTGTTTTCAACAGATCTCAAGTAGTCTGCACTGACTTTAGTGTTGATCTGAGCCATGTAAGCACACCGTGAAAGTGGGGCTTTAGAGGCTCTCTCTTTCTGATATGCACGCAAGCCAGGTTCGATCTTTTTAACAGTTCCCCACATGCCTTGCCGGACTCCAAATTTCGCAATTTCCCAAGGGATACCCATATCTTCGTGATGATAGAGTAAAATTTCACATGCAGTAAGCTGGCCATCCCCTCTCCTCGATTCAACTGGTTCATACCCAACAAATACAAGTCTTAGTGATTATTCCCAAAAGCTCAATTGAGATAAGAAAAAACACTGAAATTTCAATTTTAAGGCAATAAAAATTAATCTGCCAATTGCACACCATGACGAAGAGATACCCTGTTTTTAATAGGTAAATAAAGAAAGATATCTTTCATTTAGGAGGGCAGATTTGTTTTTTCATTTCAGAAAGCACTAAGATCATATGAGACTTCCGTTACCTGCTCGAATGCACCAACTTGAATAGTACAAGTCAACACGTCTAGGTTTTTCACGCCTTGGCACAGCAGAGGAGGGTACTCCCTGAAACATGTGATGTCACACCATTAGGTTAGCATCCTGAATTAATAACCTTAGAAAACAGAACTGTTGTACATGATGAGCGATATCACTAAATTTATTCCAAAACTAAACACAACCAGCTCAAAACAAACACTTGCAACAGTTACTAATACGTACACTCCGGAGTATAACTCGAAAAACGAGGTTCTTCTAGGACTCTCAACTTATTAGCATACAGAAGGAATTAAAATTGCTTTGGATATGAACTCAGTACAATAAACTGACCGGTAGCCTCAAATGTCCAAATCCGTAAATTATCAACAAAATATTTCAAGTTGGAAATTACTAAATTTGCGTCACTAGAAAGCTACATATAGCTTAGCAATTCAACTATTCATGACTTCAATCTTTAGCATACCAAATTTAACCAAAACTAGTGCATTAACTGTCATTATTTCACACAAGACATCCAACCTTGTCCAGAAAAAACAACGAAATTTGGATCCTAAAGGAATCCTTTTGACATTAATTTTCTTCTGCAAAACAGGTTACAGCAGCTTGTCTATGTGACTAGACTAGATAGTGCATTCATCTGAGAGGTTATATATATAGCTACATCTTCACTGTTTACATACCTTCGTTACGCAGTAGTATGTCCTTCCCGATTCCCAAATGCGACGACCGATCAGGTACTCTCTGTCGCTACAAAAGAATGGGAACTGTGTCCGAAACAAAGAAACAACATAAGTAATAAGCCAATGCAGCAACGGAACTCATGAATCAAAGGACAAAACAAAGTATCATGTTCTCACCTTGCGCACCCAGTGCACCAACATGGTTCCGGTGGTTGGACATTCTTCCAAAGTAGAAGCATGTACAAGCATGTCATCCCACTTTGCTCGAAACTCATCATCCCAGAAGAAATCCCTCAGTAACTCAGGTGTACAATCCTCATATATAGTACTACTGCGGTATTGTGGAGGTCCAGTCTAAAATACACAGGTGAAATCCAATTAGTTCAACTCGCCAACATAATACATACAAGCAAAACAAGACTGTGTCTCCAAGGACCTCGTTTATCCATTGAAACGAAAGGTAAAGACAACTACCTCGGGGTCTCTTCGCCAAGCTTGATAGCGCATAGCTGCGGTAGACCGATCCATCATATGGATCCATGTAGGCCCTCCATCTTTCTCCTCAACAAGCTGACATATGTGCTGTAAATCCTCCTTGTTCACATGACCGGAACTTTCTCTTTCAATCTTTGAGGTGCTGCCATATCACAACATTTATATTCATTAAGCTTAAGCTCTTATGTCTTACAAGTTAAACTGACCCAAATCCCCAATTTAACACAGCAAACACTAATCAAAGTTGTGAAATTGAACACATTAAATACCAAAACATGGAAAATTAAAGCAAACCCAACTTTTGAAATTAGTCAAAATACTCAAGAAAGTCAACGAACCTGAAATCCGGATTGGTGGTAGGTGGCAAAGATGGCGCGTCTTCCGGATTCCTATAGTCGGCAGGCCATGGAATGCAACTGGGCAGCTGAAACTTCAACGAGCTCAGACCCGGAATCGAACCGAAACACTTGGACGAACTCTGCGAGGACGAGGACGGGGATTCTTTTTGTTTGGAGATTGGGCAATCCAACAGGTCTCGGCCAACCAAGCTCGCCCATTTGGGCTTCCACGCCCACCCAACAAAAACCCCAACAATCACACCAATCCACAGAGGGATTATGAACATCATCAGCTCCCCCAGCACCTCCACAATCGTTGGTCGTCTCAGAATCTCCAGAAAAGCCGACGGCAACGCCATCGTCGGGCAGAAAAGCAAAAACCCGCAAGCGAAAAAAAGAGAAAAACCCTTGATTGAATCGGATACTGGTATGCAATAAGCACAGCGATTACCCGAGGGTTTCAGAGATGAAGGAGATAAGAAGATAGCAAAACCCCAATACCCAACAGAGAGGGGGGATATTAATTACTTATTAGATATATAAATACAGAGAGAAAAAAATAAAAATAAAAAGGGAGAGGAGGAGGAGGAAGCAGAGAATGATGAGATTTAGATATGGTTTATTTGCACGGAGAGAGAGAGAGAGAGAGAGAGAGAGAGAGGAGGAAGAAGACAGAGGAAAGCTGAGAGCCTTGGATAAGATTTCTGAGATCAGCGGTAGAGAGACGCGTTAGGGAGATTCCCACAGGCTCACAGAGGAGGGACTTTGTTGTTTTCTGGTGCTGCTATTGCTAGTGTTGGCCAATAGCTTCAACCAAAATGTTCAATTTCTATTTGTTTTTGTTTAATTACAATTTAATAAAAAAAGATGAGAAAAAGCGAGTTAGTTGTTGAGTGAAGGTGAATTTTCTGAGAAAATCTTAGAAATCAGTGTGTGTGTGTGTGTGTAAATGTTATGAATTGTGGATTTTGGGGATGATGAGTTGAAGAGGCTTTTGTATATATACCATGGGTGGTTAGGCTCTATGTGTTGTCTCCCCGCGGTTTCTCGTTTTCCACGTTCTCGGACTTGGATTTTTACACATTTCCTCTCTCTCTCTCTCTCGAATATTTAAAATGTTGGCTAAGAGAAAACATGTGTGATATGATTGTTTTTACTATTCAAAATGCCATGGGAACGGGAAGAGAATTCTCTCCGGATCCATTTGTGAATCCTTAGAAACTGAAAGATGATTCTCTTTGGATTCACATTATGAGGATCTTAGGGATCTTTACATTCTAACCGTTTATCGTATATTATGCAGCCAGTTTTCGTCAGATACTATTTGTGTTTACTTTTAAATTAAAAAAATCAAATGATTTATAACCGCACAAAACACGATGAATGGCTAAGATGAGTGGATCCCTAGGATTCCCACAAAATAGATCCGGATGGGATCCATTTCCATGGGAACTCTCTCAAAGTTTTACTCTTTATAAATTTTCTGTCACCTCACAGTTGAACGTCAATTTTCATGTCAACATTATAAAATATTGTGTCAAAAACATGAAGTGATAGAGAGTCCCACTTTTAAAATAGTCTTTTAGCATTTCTTTTTCGTTTTTACTAAATTCATCTAGATTATAAAGTTATAAACTCGTACTTAGGAGCAGAGTGAGGTGGATGCATGACTAACCAATTTAACTAAGTTATGAGGATGAAAACTCGAACTTAAGTACAAAATAGGGTGCACATTGTTCTAATTAGTTATTTTTTAGTCTACTATGTTTTAAAGTTTTAGGGTTGGAAAGTTGAGATGATGATAATCCTACGGTACCTAGTTTAGGCCCTTATTTTGTCCGGTTGACGATTAGATTAATCGATTTCCATCTTGAATTCTATTGGGCGATAATCTTTGGTACCAGTTTCTGTTTTTGCTGGTTGTAATTATCATCTTAAACTTAAGATGTATCACCACCCCATACCTCACATTAATTATCTTATCTTGATATATTGTATTACAAGGTTATATACACTCTATCTACTATTTGATCAAAATTATAAATGTAGGCAAAATGCAAAACATCGATAAATTCTAACTAATAGATTGATTAGGCTTCATTCAAAACGCATTTTAGATGATGATTGTATCGGTTGTTGGTCTGAACTAGTTAAAATTTGATGAACTCTTTCTCCTAGTATGATTAGTGATATTTTTTTTTTGTAAGTAAGAGATTTTAAGTTCGGATCTCGTAGATAATGAATTTAATACCAATAACCGTATTTGACTATATTGTTATATTTTAAAAAATTCCTATCATTGAGGTTTAATAATAAAACAGAAATGATGAACTATTAACTTATACGATACAGCGAGTTATATCACAAAAAATTCCTATCATTGAGGTTTAATAATAAAACAAACATGAGAACTTTATGACTAGCAATTTTGAATGGTTCAACACCGTTGGATGTCAAATGAAGCAGAATTCCAGCATTTGACTGATAATGCGCATATTCTTTCATTGGCGGCTTAATGTTGCCACTTAAGACTAGCAATTTAGAATTGACCTAATTCTTAATTAAGATGGTATGATGATCAGATAAGACATATACGACACAATTATACTACTACAGTGACATCTCATGCTAATAATATATTGACTTTTATTCACGTAGCGTTTTTTCATTAACAAAAATCACCACAGTGATGTATCCCTACTGTATAAGTTACTCATCACATGCTTCAACAAAACAATGGTGGAAGTAGAGCAATTGCTCCAAAAGCCTCCAGGGTCATATATAATCATCATTGGCTATAGATTGAGTGGATGAAGGTTAAGATGGTCAAATCATATACCATAATATTTGGTCAAATTCAATGAGGGTTTCAGCAATTTGGCCGGCGCCTAAGCATATTACAATTGCATAAAACACAACGGGGTTGCTTTCCATAATAATTAAGAGACGTAATGTATATTGCATGGTCTGCCCCTAAACTTGCTTCCTTGTACGCTTCTGAATTGGCCGAACTCCTTGACCCCTTTTGCATGGACATGCAAATTATATATATGATGTCTTGTTTACTGGTTTCTTTGTCAATTAAGTGGAATTCAACAAGGCAAAATCAAACCTTAATCTAAGCATGTGAACAGGTTGTAGCTAGCTAGGTCTTGGTCAATACAGAAGATTAATTTTCCTTAATCAACAAATCCGCTGAATGAGCATACTATACAGACCTAACATGTAAATAACCCCTCTCGTAACTGTGCAAGCGACGCGTAGGTTTAGCACCACCGTACGCCTTGCGATGTGACTCTAACGGAGACATTGAGTGAGAAGAACGAGCACCTTCCCCACTAGGCCGCAACATTGGGCGACTAGTGCTTGAAATGATTGCTTGAAAGAAACCAGTTGATGCCAGAATAATACAATATCGCAGTGAAACCGACCATATAATGGTTGAAACACTTGCATGCTTTCGTCGTGTAAATTATTTTATGTCCTTCAAGCTCTGTAGTCCGTCACCTTCTAATTTGACCTCCGACCTCACACACACACACACATACATTTATAGCTAGCTGCATGAGCTACACATGCATGATGGTTATGTTTGAAGAATAGACGAGTATTAACTTTATCAGGCTTTCCACATGTAAGCGTTTTCTAGTCAATTATTACAATTATTTTCATATATGGACGGACCATAATATAATATATTGGTCCAATTTACTTAGAATCTTTTATAATTCTTACTCTTCAGTTATCTTCGTAGAGTAACTAAAATTATAACACAATAAGCGGGATGGATGTGGGATATGGAAAGTAATGGTCTCTATTGAGAGTATGAATCTCACATCACAAAGTGGTGGTTAACGATATTTTCTACGCCTCCTTCGAGTGTTTGCTTTATTTTCTATTAAAATTATAACACAATAAGCAGGATGGATGTGGGATATGGAAAGTAATAGTCTCTATTGAGAGTATGAATCTCACATCACAAAGTGGTGACTAACGATATTTTCTACGCCTCCTTCGAGTGTGGGATACAATAAATGTTTTAATTGTTAGATCTTCGTTTAAATTAAAATTTAGCAATTCTAAAGTCTGGAGTATCACATATTCCTGAGGACCATATAATTTTTTGGGACTAGCTATAAGCCTATAACACACAAAAAATTATAGATTTACCATGAGGAAACAAAATAACTAACGCAACTAATGGACACTTGAACGGACATGATTATATCCATAACTAACTCCACTTCCATTTTTTTGAAGAAAATCTTCTATCAATCTTCTATTAGGACTATCTGTATACAGTAGCACATTCACATGAGATCGGCTTTCCTGCATATCGGTCCCATATCGAGAGACTACCTCATGTGAGCGTGCAGCCGTCCAAAGGGTTTTCTCCATCGACCCCATTACTTGAAAAGTTAAAGAGTTTTTAACCGCCAATGATTCTTCAAGAATTGACATCGTTGAGGAGGATGCGTATGTCACTGGGCGCGTAGACGGTGAATAATGAATTTCTACATCACGTACACTTCATATATATGATTTTGGAAAATCCCATCAGATGTGCTCACTTCACCTATCAAATATTGCATTTCGGCTGTACCACCGACCATGTCAATTCCTCAAATAGTTGATTACAAATTTGAACAAATGATTAAGGGATGTGCTATCCACACACTCCTTATTAATTTTGGTAATTTGATATTCTTCATTTTATCCAATCCGACGATGAAAAATTTGAAAGGTGGGAGAGAAATAAAAAACGGTGTGTAGATATCACACCTCATGATTAAATGAGTAACAAATTATGTACATAGTCATGGTTTATTAATATAATAAGACTATTTCCATACACAAAACTGGAACTATGTAAGTACTGAATTATCATAGTGGTTATGATATTTTTCTTCAACCCACCCCGTCTCATGTTCAAAACCCTCATAGTGTAGATTAATTTTGAAAATTGTCGTAATAAAAGACACCGACACTTTCAATACAAGTAAACCTCACACACAATTACAAAGTGTTGTACACTTGGTAATATGTTGTGAAATTTTAGTCTAAATCGACTTTCCAACAACCTAAAGTTAGGTTTATCTGTGATAAGACGACGTTGCCCGACGAGGGAACACACAAAAGGATGAAAAATCGTGTTAGTGCTTAACAGGTGTAGGGTTTGAAATGTCATCTCATCTCAGCTCTTTCGATTTGACTAGTTACCAAAATACACAGGCACAAGGTTTGGCAGGATGCACGAAGCCTGTTGGGACCTGCTTGAAAGAATTCATCATGAGAGAAACATTTTCCAAAAGGAAAGAACTTCTTATCAGAAGAGTACTAGCTCTTGTAAATGGTTGTTTTAGACTTGGGGGAGAACTTATGTCACCAAGACAAAATTCTAAATTCTAATGGCACAGTTATTCAATGAGTGCGTGTTAGCAGTTCATAATTTGAAGATAAAAAGTTAATATTATGATAGGAGGTCTTGTAAGAGTAATAATCCGTGATAAGTAAATACTAAAGAAAGGCTATGGAGTGGTGGTGCCACTAAGATCGTGTTTTTGTTACAAGATAGATTTTCGTTGTTAGCTCATATTGAATGCAAAAATCTAAATTTTATGCTCGTATTTTTGTATTTGGGTCTAAAAATGAAGAATGATTTACATGAATAAATTCAGTGTTAAATGACGTCTTGATCTATTGAAACAATGATATTTGTAAATTTTTCTTTTCATTAATTTTTATTATTAAACCAAAATACTATCATAGCGTAAATCATTCTATGTAAGTCCCTCTTTTCTATTAATTTCTTACAAGTTCTTTTTTTGCTCAAATCGCAATGACCCCAATCATTGCACATAGCAACACATTCTCTTCCCTCTTTGCTTTAGGGCCCACAATTTGATTTCATTAATTAAAAGCAATCTCAAATATTGATTCGGTACTTTGAAGGATGATGCTTACATTTATTTTTGGACCGTCCAAAAAAAAGCTTTCATTTGGATTTGACTTTACCTTTTGTGCTCCAACCGCAAATAAAAAAGAACAACTTACATGGAACAAGATTATTATCATTTTAGGATCTTAATTGGAGTGTCAAAGCAAAGAAAGAAACTTACATGAAACTAAATCATTGTAATTTTAGGGTCTTAATTCAATAATATTTGTTATATACTTACACATGTCAATGCATTATTGACCAGAACGCAACATGACAATGAACATATTCCATATAAGTCCTGCCAACCAAGGTGTCATAAAAAATGGAAAGAAAATAAAAACCCAACTTGCCAACCAGTTTCCATCCAAAGAGCATCAAACTTGGAAAGAAAGGATTTTGTCCATATTTTCTGACTCAAGATTCTCTGTGCAATGATTAAATTAATCATATACCAACTGTCCCAGGGGCATAAATAATAGCAAAAATGGGGCAGGTGGTTTGTGTTTAACCAACCTTCTGTTAAATCCATACACATTTACATCACAATCAAATGAGCACAGGTTTCAAAAGCTAGTGTGCCAAATAGCTTCATCACCTTCTCCACATCGCTCGTGCACCTCCTCCATTCTCTCCACCGATTTGCATATGCCGCTGCAGCTCCAGTCGAACGATGCAGCACAAGGGTTTCCTGCTTGAGCTTTCCACTCACACTCTTTGAGAAAGACAAGAGAGTTTCGAGTTATACACAGTTGAGATCGAGCTTAAGAACATCTAAATTGAACTAATTACAGTGTGATCTTTTGTGTGGCTTGCAAGAAAAGTGATTATTTTGGTGAGAAGCATCAACTGCAATGGCTTTTAACAATCAATAAGTTGAGTTTAAATAACTAATTGCGTAGAAAAGCAAAAAGCATCAATCTTGAGGTCATATGCATAAAGAAACTAACAGCTTAATGTCTTGAAGTGGAACTAAATTGAGTTGCCAAGAACTTACCAGTAGAGGTACCACAGCAAAGGCTTCGCTCGTCAATGTGCTCAACATCAAGACCAATAAACCAAGAACCCAAAGAGACATCCTCATTTGCATATTTGTGAAGTATGTGCCTAAAGTGGAAAACAGAACTTTTCCAAGTTACATGGCAAGAACAAAATGCAGAATTTTTTTGTTGTGTGTGTGTGCGTATAAGAGAAAAATGAGACTGCCCAAAAGGACTTACCGATGGACTGAGATGTAAGTTGCTAAATCTTTGGAAATTGCGTATATTTGACCTGTTGCATGCCGAAAATACTTATTTCCCTCCTCTCCAAATTTCCAATATTCCGGTTCATGGTACTTGACCCCCCTATCAAAATAGGTACAGATGATGAATGACAAACATAAACTAAACAAGAGAGATGCACAGCATTTGGCTGCTTACTTATTCGCTAGGACAGGTCCAGACTTCATACAACCGATATATGTACGAGGTTTTGATCTATGACTGGCCAAAGTAGAACCAACCATACCTGTCAAATATTGAAATTAATTCAGTGCCGCAGATTCTGCATCAATTGTTTCCTCCCCATATTTCCACACCAGATACAGCTGAATTAAAAATATACACACTAACCAAGATTTATGTGCACATCGTCATCAACCTTGATATAAAAGTCAGCATCCCACTTAGAGACAGCTGCGGTAAAATATGTTTGGGTTTTTGACGACAATTCATGATATCCTTCTATGTGATTCTGCAGATGTACAATGGTGAACACTTCATAAGGTCCACCGAAGTGATTTGAAGTTTGAACCAATAGACAATCTAGATCTTAAAACAACTAAAAAATGCCCACCAAAGGGTTTAAGAATTTTGTTCCTTTGAGTGGTTCCCAAGACAATATATCTGCATAAAGCATTGCATGAGTCTCCAAACAACTAACTGGAGATAACAGGTAATTTGGTCCTAGGCACTCGGTACTTACCAGCCGGAAAAAATCCTTATGTTTCTCATCTTCTACATCAATGGCACGATCCAAAAGGCCACCTGGAGTTGCACTGACGACAAAAAAGGAACCAGTAAGTTTTGTTAAAATTTTCATTCTGAAGAAAGCAGTTTAGTAAGCTAGTCACTTGCAATATAGAGTAAGCCTACCTGTGTCCAATAACAAACCGCATAATAATTCCCTTTTCTGCCTCTAGCTTCTTTAACTCATCCCCTGGAAAAGTGATAAACTAATCAATTATGTGTGTCTATATATACATATGCTTATTTCTTATAGCAGCAACTAATCTTTTATGTGAGAGAAATGGATTTCGAGTTTTTTGGATTTCAACCTTGGGGCATCCACGTTTCCCTGATTGACTCCCTTCGTTTTCGGCTGCTAAAGGCAGTCATGATTCCCATCACAAAGAAAAGCTTCTGGCGCTCTTTCAATGGCTCCTTTCCCGGTCTTATCACCACAGGAGATCCTTCATGATTGCCAGATTTAGAAGCTCTCGCTGTCGCTAGCTGGACCTCTAATGTGGAGATTGTCTTATCTAATGCCCTGGAAAGAAATGCAGCATAAATGTCAATAACATACCAACATCAATGTATATATTGAAATACAAAAAATGATCACTTTGAAGATTTCCTCAAATAATAGAAGGACATGGGAAGTTACATGATCACATCATGTGTTTGCGAGACTTGAGAAAGGATGTCTCCCACGCCATCAGTGACCTCCTGCAGTAGCACGGATAAACTATTACTGATTTACTATATAAATGGAGCTGACAAATGTTTGGATCTTGTAACTTGCCTTCTTCTCACAATTAACTATGGGAGGCAGAACTCTTCTTGGTTGATCTTTCTCCAGTGGTGAAGCCTCCTCATCAATTTTGTCTGGATCGGGAACACCCCAAAAGCTGCAAGATAAACATCAGCAACTGACCAATGCAATTTTCTGTCAAGAAAAGAACAATATGAACCAGACAAATACAGTCCCATGTCACATGAGTGGGATGGATAAAAAAATTCGTTTCCAAGCAATTTACAGTTCAACTCTCATACTTTACTTTATGGTAGTTGCGTTAAATCCTCAGCTTTCTAAGGTCATCCAATGATCCTTTGCTTCTCTTGTCACATTCATGTGATTTGGGTACCATAGTTGGGCTTCACCAGCCTAGTACATTAGATTTTTGTGGTGATTGATCAACACTCAAAACTTATATTTCTATGCAATATCAGAGACACAGGAGATCTGGTTCCAAATCGAAGAGTAAATCTATTGGCAGAATTTGCCAAAGGAATATAAATTACCAATCATAGAGCAAAGCTACGCAGATCAAGAGTATTATTGGGTGCATATTCGTCTTCAAGTTGTTGCCATCTGTCAGCTACATGTTCCTTTTGCAATGCCAGCCAACTGATAGAAACTATTCTGACCAGAATTTGATTCTTCAAGGGAAAAGTTTCGGTACAATGTGACTGAGTACATAAACTTATCTAACACTAGGTCAAAAATTGGCATCACCGTTTAGAATAACCGACCTCCCACCGGCTCCAATGGCTAGAAATCTCTTCCAGCACCACTGAACTGTATCAACTGGCTGCCATTACTTTATTTACCATCCAAAGGAGTTAACTTGAAACCATTTTCCTAATGTCTGGCCAACTTAAAATCGATCAGCAAGCTCCCCAAATTTCTACGAAACTCGAAAAATCAGCTTTGCGACCAAATGAACACTCAAATATCATGGAGAACTGCTTATCCAACCGGAGTTAACCTTTCAGACTCCAACGCAAAACTTCACTGAATCTACTACTTTCCACACTAAAAAGCCAATAGATCACAACATATTCCTTAAACCAAATCATGTAATTTTAAATTACGATCACGATTCAGCACCCATTATGTCCAATTGGAAACTTAAGTACAATCAAAATTACTAAATAGGATTAGCAAACATCCTAAATTTCAAACAATGGTGCCAACAGAATTTGAATTAAGAAACCAGAGCATCATTTGCAAAAAACAGCAAAAGGGTCGGAAAAGATGTCTCATTTGTAGCAAACAACGTTAAAAAATGCATATTTACAAGCCCCATTAGACTGAGAAGCAAATCTGGAAACTGAAAGAACCACCTCAACACAAGATCTTAGAGAGAGAGAGAGAGAGAGAGAGAGAGAGAACCTGTTGACAACAAGAACACCGAGGAAGAAGCTGGCAATGCAGAAGAGAGAAGCCCATCTAACGGAGACTCCATTGCCGACCTTGTGAGGTTTACTGAGACCCATCTGCAAAAAAGTCGTCAGCTTTAAGGAACCTCCGCTTTGCTTAAGCTTTTGTGGAGTGGGGTTTTGGGGAGGAAGCTTCAGGAAGAAAATATGAGCAGTAGCAACCCCATTACAGAAAGATCAGTTTTTCTTACAGACAGCACAGCAACAAAATCATGTCCTGAAACAGTGACTTATATATTCGAAAAGGAAAAGGAAGGGAAATAGATGGAGTTAAACAGTTGAGGGGAGATGGGCTACCTAGTAATTATAATTTTCCATTTTCTCCATTTTTCTGTCACGGTAAAAATAATATTATTTAAAATGTTTTGAAAAAATAATGACAAAAGCCATGGCAGCTTTAACCGTCAATAATGTCCCTTTATTCTTAAGCTTTTCCAAGCAATGGAATGCATTCGCACTGGCTATACTTTCTGCGCCTTTGCCCTTGTTTTTGTATATTGTTTTTTATTTTTTATTTTTCCATGTATTATTTCTACATGCTTATCTTTTTGCAGATTTCCTGTTTAATTTAAGATATATGGTTATGTCTTTCTGTTTTTTTAATAGCACAAATACATGTAGATGTGCAAGAAAAATAGAAGAGTAGCGTGTAGAAATTATTTTGCTAATATAAAAACTTGAAACCTCATAATTTTATGTATTGTTTGTGCTGACTCTAGTATTGTTGATGTAGCAATTTGACCTGTAATTTACCATATACCCCAATTTTGAATACTAGTCTCTATGTAGAAAAATAAAAAAAACTTATCTACGCCTGTGATGTGAAACTTTCGTTTTTATACCCTTTTGTATATGATTTCATGTATGTCACTAATGTATGATTATTATATGATGATTATTATACGTACTTGTTGGTAAAGTCTTTGTGCCAATATTGTTTTACTCGGTCTTAATTTATCAAGAGATGAGTATTGAACTAGTGACAAAAATCATGTTTATGTAACCAAATTCAAAGTTGGAGTCACGATGCACATAGGATACAGTGTTATACAAGCAACAATCACGATGTATTAAAACAACATATTTTACCAGCAAAATATATTATCTATGTAAAACTTATAATTTTATTTCATTAACATTTCAATCGATCTAAATACAAAAAGAAAACCTTTGATAAAAAAAATACAGAAAGAAAACTTTACTTTGAAGGAGCTCAACATATAATTCAGATAATCTCTTTGCAAATGTAGATTTGTAAAATGGAAAAATGCTTCTATTGCAATTCAAAAAAGCTTTATCGGTACTGCATAAACAAGCTGCAAAATGATAAATCTAACTTTCTAGCCCTTTAGAGCAGACATAAACAATTTACGAAGCCAAAGAGGGCAATCTTGGCCACATGCAAAAATAGAGCTGCGAACAAAGTTGGCCAAAGGTTGTTAAAGGAAATTGTAGCAATGGTCCTTCAATTTTAACTTAATTGGAATAATGATTCCTCGACTAAAAATTCTTGACCATTGGTTCCTTAAGTCATCAATACATGTAGCTATAATTTTTTTCGTTAACTCCATTAAAACTTTCGTTAAAATGAGTCACGTGCCACGCACGTGAAGTTGAATCAAGGAGCAAATATAAAAAACCAAATAAAAAAATTATAGCAATGATCTCTCAACTTTAACCCAATTAGACAAATAGTCCCCCAACTTTAACCCAATTGAAACAATGGTCCCTCAACTTTAACCTCATTGTAGTAATGGTCCTTCCAACCTGAGTCATTCTGACGAAATTCTGATGGAGTTGACGAAAAAACCATAATTGCACGTTTTGATGAGTTAAGAGACCAATTGTCATGGATTTTAGGTGAGGGACCATTGCTTCAATAGGATTAAAGTTAAGGGACCATTGCTACAATTTTCTATATACTGTAAACTTGGCTACTCAAAAATGAGTTTGAACTCCTGCTCAAAACTCGTAGTGCATAAATCACAGAGCTTTTGAGTTTATGATCAGAACTGTTAATATTATGAATCACACTATAAAAATCATCTCTGCAAAAAAATGAATTAAAAAAAAGTCGTTTCGTCAATCTATTCTAGCAAATATATAAACGGTTAGTAATGATTTTACCAATTCTATTTATTTGTTTTTATACAATTCGTTGACTAAACAACCTTAGTTCTAATTGATTTTTTTTGCGTAGACGGTTTTTATAGGCTGATTTATAATATGAACAATTTTGATATTCGTTGACTAAACAACCTAAGTTTTAATTGATTTTTTTTGCGTAGACGGTTTTTATAGGCTGATTTATAATATGAACAATTCTGATTGTAAACACGAAATTCTATAAATTGACAACAAATAAGTTTTGAGTATGAACTTGAAAAAGGTAAGTTAGGTTGGTGAATGGTTATAGTAAATGTGACTTAAAGTCAAGGCTCACATAGTCCATTTGATGCCAGGGTGTCGAATGGCAAACAGACAGACAGAACGACGTACGTGAATGCATGATGAAGTCATAGAAGTGAGTTACACTTATGCACAAATTTAAATTATCCAAAAATTAAAAAAAGAAAAGGATAAAAATATTAAATTTGTATAGTTGTGGTAGAGCACCATTACGATACCATACTCCCACATCCTCCGACACCTTAAGAAATTTTTGTGTGGGTTGAAAATACCGTTACGTGTTGTTATAATTCTACGTATTCTGATATAAGTGGAGAATAGAGTTGATATGTTTTAATTTTATGATTTATTAAAAATTTAAAATGCATATTATAACTAATAACATGCTGTGATGGTGTTCTAGGTACCCTAAACCCTATTGCTACCATATAAACCCTAGATTCTCCTCTCCAACACCATTCCCTTCTTCACGGGTCCTGATTGCCATGACTTATATTTTTGACTTGTCCGGTTGTCCCTACCCTCCCTTTTTCTTTCCATCAACTTTGTTTAACTTTACGTAGGAGTGAATTTAGCAGTTCATCAGATCCAGTGCCAGATTTTTTTTTTTTGTTCCGTCCTGTGTTGTTTTCCTGTTTTTAAATCCATAACTTGAGGCAAAAGTAAAGCTTGAATATGTGAGCTCCAAGTGTTTTAATTAATTGTGTTTTAAGCTTTGTTTTACATACTAATTCTACTATCATGCATGCCCAGGTGTTGCAGAAGAAACTAAATTAACAAATTAAGCCTCTAAAAATTTGGTAGTGATGGGTTAGTTTGATCATTTCTGAGATTAGTTATAGTGATGCACTGTTGATGGTGGCTACCAATCACATTATTTTGTTAGGCAGTTCTGTTGATAGATTATATATTTATATGTCAACACTTTCATTTTATATGCTAATGGAGCTGATAAGCATCATAGAACATGTAACTCAAGTGGTTAAGAACGTTTATCTTTGGCACCCAACGCCCTAGGTCCTAATTATTACCGAAACAAACATATGAGTGTATCTCCGAGATGCTCACACTACAAACTAGTTGCTGAGGGATGCCTATTTGCTTATTATCATGCAACATACGCGACATCATAAACTTAGAAAAATTGGTTGCAGTAATTGGTAATGTGCAGCTTCTTAATGATCATCGTCATCCTCCAACACAATGGACATCTAGACAAGATTTACCCAAACCCGGCCCAATGAAGATTTACCCAAACCCGGGCCCATTCATGGTGGGCTTTTACAAAACCTGCTCTTACCTTAATTGCCCCAAGCCCATATTCAACCCTAGTGGGTATTTTGGCAAATCACTTTTAAGAATTTGCCCTGCTAAACTTATGTGTCAAATTATACAACTTTGGGATGAAGAAATACAAATTTGAGATGTAAAGCTGCATTTACATCGCGTAGATTTCCAGAAAATGTAAATGTAATAGCTACTCTAATGGAAGAGATTTTAATTTGGAATCTAATTTATTTTTTTCTCTTTGATTGGCATGGTCCTTCTTCACAAGATGTACAGTTACATTTTTATCTACATTTTTTGACAAAGATAAGTATTTTATATTCCGAATATTGGATGGTTTTTGAACCAACAAAAAATGTAAAATGTCCATTCCAATGCCTTTTGTATGGACATTTGGCATCTCTTATTGGATATAAAAAGTGATTTCTATTATTTAATAAAGAAATTGTTATTAGCACTCCAAAAATCTCATTCCACACTCCAAATTTTTTATATTAGGAAAGAAAAATACATTTATAAGGAGTGTAGAATGAGATTTTTGGAGTGCCAATAACACTTCCCTTTAATAAATTCACCTATATTAAAGAGTGTGTTAGTTTTGTCTGTTCCCAATAACATTACAATTATGTTTTTGGTTGATTGATAAAACTCTTCCTTGTAAGTACGGTTGAGGTTTTAAAAAAATGTTCATTCATCACTTGGTATTTCACAACTTTTTTTTATACAACGATATATTTACAATAAGAGAATGAGAGAATAAATTGGTTATGAACTCTTCATTCTCTAGATTAAACCTGAGACCTTTTACTTACAAGTGAATAGAGGTGGAAAAAAATATTGAAAATTCCAAACCGAACTGAAAAAATCCCGAAACCGAACCAAAAATCCTGAAAATTTAGGTACCCAATCCCGAACTTATCTCAAAATTTCGATACGGGAATCAATCTCACATTTTCATTCGTTCGGTAATCCCGAACCGAACCGAAATAGATATACATTATTTAATTTTAAATATATATTTAGAATTGTAACAGCCGTTGGATTTGGTTGAGATTTAATCTTAACCGTTGAATCTAAATAAAACCCTCACTCAGTCACTCTCTCTCTCGACCTCACCTCACCCTCCTCGTCGATTTCTCTCGATCTCTCTCTCCGTCTTCGAATCCGGCCACATCCACGTCACACTAGTGACTCACCTCTCTCTTGACTTCTCATCCCGCATTGTGAACCCTTCCTTCACCACACAGAGCAACGGCCACCGCTCTCTCTCTCTCTCGTGATTCTCTCTCACACAATTCTCTTTATCAGACACTCAAAATCATAGAGTCTTCTTCATCCAGTGCATTGTGCACCGATTCTCCCCCAAATGAGGTAAATTTTGGAATTAATTTAGGGTTTGAATTCTAGATTAGAGTTTGTGAAATTTGTTCATGTTTTGGATTGGATGTTCATGATTCCAGCCCTAATTTAATTTCTATATTTATGTTTACCATTAGGTTAAGGTTTATGATTTTTTTTTTTCGATTTAGGAGTGAGGCTATTATATACGTATGAGAATGAGGCTATTATATACAATTCTAATTATACAGTATTAAACTGCAAGACTTCCTTCTAGTGACCTACTTTGTATGTACGAGAGTGAGGGTATTGTGTACAAATTATAACTGGACTTTATAGTGAGTTTCATTATTTCATCTCCAATGTAATTTCTTTGTAACAGATGTCCTTGTGTTCTTTTACATGAGCACTCAACAATTTGGTGTTACTTGTTTGTAACTTTGTCCAGTTCAAGCACTTTTAATTGTTGTTGGTAGGTCTGTGAAAGATCACTTAAGAATACACAGAATGGTCCTAGCATGCCACCAGTGCAGAATTTTGTGAGAGCGGAAATGCTGTCGAGCGGGTATCTAATTAGACCTTGTGAAGGTGGTGGCTTGATCCTTCATATTGTTGATCATATGGCTTTTGTATATTGAAGCAATGTCACTTCCTTGGCTTGATTGATCACAATTTTGACTTGTTAATTTGATTGCTTAAACCAGCCTTGGAGTGTACCTGAAGTGTTGCGCCCGCTTTATGAGTCATCAACACTTCTTGTTCAGAAGACAAGCATGGCAGTAAGATTGTTTTCTCCTGATCGATGTCATCTTGTTTGGATATTAAAATTTGTTAGTTGAGAATGTTTAAAACAAGTTAGAATCGTAGAAACGATGAAGCTTCATACATCTTGTGTTGTAATGTGGACATATTTCTTCTTTCAGGCATTACGCAACCTGAGGTAGATATCTCAAGAAGTTTCTCAGCCTAATTATTCCGCTGGTTGGGGAAGAAGGCCTGCAGCTCTCCGTGCTCTTAGTCAGAGATTGAGCAAGTGCGTTACAATTTCTCCCCCTTATGATTTGTTAGAACGGTTAATCAACTTTCACCTCGTTGGAGTCTTAATTGAATTTAAATAGTTTGATAGTAGAATATATTTGAAGAACAATTCATAATTTCATATTTCAATTAGTGATTCCCGATTTGCCCCTAAATTTCGAAAGTATTTTGAGATTCCCGAAAAATTTGGTTTAGGATTGATCTTCAAATTCCGGTCCCGAAAAATTTCAGTTTGGGATTCAGGATACTAATTTTGGTTCGGTATTCCATATCGAACTAGCCCTACAAGTGAAGAAAATATCACTCGACCGTAGCAAATTGCGCACTATACAAATGGATATTGACGCTCCTGGATTCCCTAAAACGTAGAAGTTAAGAAAATTACCGAGTTGATTTGTTTATATTGCACTTATATTCCCATTTACATTATCATTTCTTTGGCCACGAATCTTAAAAGCCAATCTTTGTGTGCAGTGCACTAGTAACTTGAGGAAGTTGTCAAGTCTTTTGCAAACACAAAAACCTTCGGATAAGTAGCGATTAATAATGAACGTGAAAGTCTGGGAAACTAGAAGCTTTCTTCCTTCATTAAGATGTTGGCATCAAAAGTAATCATAGCTTCCCTGGCATGCTTTGCACGTAAAAAAGTACTTATATGTTCCCCTGACAGGCTTCAACGAGTGCTTGTTAAGGCGCATTGCGTGACATACATTCATACGAGTACTGATATGTGTGCAATACTTGAGCTACATCAAAACCAAAACCAGCCTACTAAATTTGGGTTTGATCAATTTGGGTAGAGAATCACGAATTAAGACTTCAATTTGGGTATATTCAGTTCATCTATAAACCACCTTTCAAGCTTTGACTTATCATTCTCTATGTACATGCATGTGCGGTACAAACACCCCAAAATACTGAATTCAGGACTCGTTTGCTATAAATGATTGGAATGAAATGAATATGTACTATTTTCATGTGTCTTTGTAGCATTAGCATAGGACGCCACTGGTGTACCCGTACCATACAAATTGCTCTTCTAAATCAAGTTCAAATCCTCTGCGCATCTTTCTCAACGGGACATGTGTGTTTAATCCTTGTTATTCATGCAAATCGTGCGACTAATCACAACAGGTTGATCTACAACCATAATACTTAGTGTCCAAGCGATTAGCAAGTGTCAAAAATGTAGTGAAATTGGATGGTTTCGAGATTAGGTCAGCACATTAATAATAAACAAAGCTTTTTTCTTCTTTTGCAGATCCATTTGGAGAGCCAGTCTTTGCTGAAGGGGCAGAGCAGAAGGTTGCGGATCCATTTTGATTATGGAGGAGGCTTAGTGAACCCGAACAAGGCAGCGAACCCTAGCCTCATATATGATATCAGCACAAATGACTACATAAGCTACCTTTGTGCGTTTGGCTGCAACACCTCAGCTGTTTTTCTACTTGTTCAACAAGCCACATCATGTCCTGTTACAAAACCTTCAATTCTTGATGTAAACCTGCCGTCCATTACCATTCCAAATCTAAGAAATCCTGTAACACTCACTCGAACTGTAATGAATACTGGTTCTGTCAACTCAATGTACAAAGCTCAAATCGAGCCTCCATCACGCATCAAAGTAGTTGTAAAGCTAGAGACGCCTTCAACTCGACAGTTAAGACGATCTTCTTTACAGTTGCGGTTTCCACTGCCTACCAAGTGAACACAGCATCCTTTTTCGGAAGCCTGACATGGACTGATGAGGTGCATACTGTGTCAAGTCCCATATCTGCGAGAGAAATGAAAATGGATCATACTCATCCAGCAAATTGTGTCAAATACATTGAAATATTTCAGAACTGAAGAGAAAATGAAAGAAGAATAACAGTGAGAAAGATGAAGAACTAGAGAGAGAGAGAGAGAGAGAGAGAGAGAGAGAGAGAGTTTAGAGAGAGAAATGAGACTTGTATTAACTGAAAAGGAAGTATTACATAATTAGTAAGCCTAACTACTCTAACCAAATACTAACAAACTTACTAACTATATTGCTGACTTGTACAATCATTTAACTAATCATCTAACTAACGGTGTGGAACTCTTAATAGATCGTAATAATGCAGATACATAATCGAATCATCAAATAATAATGGGAATATTTCCGAAGTGCTTGATGGACAACTATAGACTCCATTGTCTTTCAAAGTAGAATTGAAGTTCCTATGAAAGTGGAGAGAAAGGGAATTTGATTCTCTTCTTTTTTGTGGGTGCAATGGGGAACAAAGAACCATGTTCTTGGTGGAGAGATTAAGGAGCTTAAATATGCTTTAGGAGTCTATGCAAACTTTCTTAGCATCTGTTCTTAATCATGAACCAAGCTCAGTTGCTCACAAATATGTCCATTGTAACCCTAACTTTTCCCAGGTCATCCTACTCGGGATTTAGATCTCTCTTCCAATGATTCAAATTGAATCAATGTTAGACTATCATCCATTAAAAATAGACTGAATTATTATAGGATTGCCAATAACCTTTGCCGTTATATTTGAGAGAATTTCATCTAAATTTCCTGTTAAGCGGTGTCATGTGAGAGGCATGAGGACAAACTTGTCTTTCTATCTCACTAAATTCATCACTGTCAACTTGTGCTTCAGAAGGTTCTTCACCATCCACATAAGTTACTTTAACACCACTTAACAAAATTTTGGATAAAATTCTCTAAAATCTAGCAATGGGGGAGTAATTGGCTGTTTCGTACTAGTTAAGGGAGTAAATCAGCAAAAAAAGTAGTTTTGGGGGTAGCGACAGTCTTGTAATAGTTTGGGGGTATAGGTAGTTTACCCTTAAGAAAATTTAGGATAAATTGCATATTTCACCCTGAAGTTAGTGTACAATTACAATTTAATTGCAATTTAATGTCATACAAGTTGTAATTTAATTGCAACATTTTACATCCGTTAAACATATGTTAAATAAGTCGTTTTTGAGGACTAATCAGGTGGGGTTTTCGATCAACATCACTCTGTCTAATGACGTCTTGAAACTCAAACGGCGTGTCGTTATCTTGCCGGAAGTTTACCACACTGGGTGGCTTGTGGAAAAGGGAGGGGGGAAGATAGGATTGAGAGAGGTCCTGCAACGAATTTGAGAGGTTGGGTTGGGGAGGGTTGTAGAGAATGAGGTGTGGTTGGGTCTAAGTTTGGCCAGAGAAGGAGGAGGTGGGGCCTATTATTATTATTTTGTTATTTCAAAATTATATTAAATACTTACTTTAAATAATTATTTTTTAAAGTTATTTTTATCTTGTTACATCATAATGTAAACGATTAATTTAACAAATTTGTAACAGATGTATGTTATTTTAATGAAATTTTAATGTATGACGTTGTGAAAATTTGAAAATGATAGATGAAATTGCAATTGTATGCAGTCATATTTACTCTATTTATGATTATAGTGAAGAAAACCAAAAAAGTAAAACTGCGGCAGTGGCGAAACCGTATTTACACGATCCAAGTACTCGTTCAATATCTTATTTCAGCCGTTAGATGACCCATAATAAACTATTCAGTTAGTACAAATTTCATTCACGAGGATCGACCTGGCCAGCCGTCGATAAGTTTCGATCCAACGGTACCAGTTGAAAACAATAAAACAAAAAATCCGCGCACAAAGCTCAGCCGAGGCGGCAACGCCAAAAATTCAAAGATCGCTCGATTCCGCTCCCCACTATAAACCCCCCCTTCCTAGTCAATTCTTCATTCACCAGATTCACTTCAACTTTCACAACAAATTTGTTTGGGAGGTCAGAAAATTTAGATTTTCCGGGAAAATGACAGGGAGAGGAAAGGGAGGAAAGGGTTTGGGTAAGGGCGGAGCCAAGAGGCACAGGAAGGTGCTGAGGGACAACATCCAGGGGATCACCAAGCCGGCCATACGAAGGCTCGCTCGCAGAGGAGGTGTGAAGCGCATAAGCGGCCTCATATATGAAGAAACCAGAGGGGTTCTCAAGATCTTCTTGGAGAACGTCATTCGCGACGCTGTGACGTACACCGAGCATGCCAGGAGGAAGACGGTGACCGCCATGGATGTTGTCTATGCTCTAAAGAGGCAGGGACGAACCCTTTATGGTTTCGGAGGTTAATTCAAGATATTTTGAATCGAATCCTTCTGGTTAAATTTGGGGCTTTTTTGTAAAACTTGTTATGATCTGATGAATTTGCTTGTTAATTTTGAATGTCTGAGATCGATTTGAATATGTAATTCCAATCGGATCCTTTCCGCTTCCAATGCCATCAATGAAGATATATTACTTAAAGAGAATTATTGTGCACAATTTGTAGTTACTGAATTGTTGGATTGATTTTGTGGTGCACCCAATGGTGGAGCTAAAATTCTTTGTGAGAGAGGGTTTTTTATATATGTATTGAGAAAGATTTTGAACTCGTAGCATCAACAATTGAAGTGATCTTCACAAAATTAAAGGACCCATTAATTTAATAAAGAGAATCGAAGGAAGTGTATAATACAAGAGTGGGAAGTAGAGGGCAAGGTAAACGATAAAAAAATTGAAATTATAGGAAGAAAATATAAAGAAATTTGGTTTGAATAGTTTGATAGAAAAAGAAGGGCAAAGAAGAGGGTTGCAAATAATAGTTGATTAGGTAGCTTTAGAAATAACATTAAAGTTGATTGTAAAACCTCAACCTTGAGTTTCATTAATTCACAATACGATGTCTTTCGACTCAACTTCTTCATAAGGATAATTCATCTTATTCTTCATGTCTTACGGTTCTACAACTGCAAGTTTAAAGCCGTTAAAATTTCTTACACAATAGTCAGGATGAGCCTGGGACCACTCTGATCCCTTAGTGGCTGTACCAATGGTGCACCCATTTTTTGTTGTAGGCAAGGTGTTTGTTGTTATGTCTGAGAGAGTTTTTAGACATAAATTATTGTTTAATTTATGTCTAATTCATTGAGATTTGAGGCTTAGAATTAAAAAATAATTAATCCAATTGGTAATTTCTTAAGATACTTAACGGATGAAATTAAAACTAGTGTAAGAAATGTTCAACAACAATAATATTTTATTTTATTAAGTATGGTCAGTTGTATATTTTATTTTTTAAAAAAGTAAATAATCAGTGATAAGCTACGATTATATACTCTTTCCGGGTCCAGAGAAATTATGGGGAGTTTTACCCCATCCGTTGCCACAGTCAAGCAACGACCAGCTCGGAACATTTAGAAAATTATTGGGCTTGATTTTGTTCTATGTACTCCATAAGCTTTAAGTGCTCTTATTTTTTTGTTTTTGAAAAGTCTCTTTTCAAGCCTTTTTCTTTCTTTTTCAAAATGTTTTGCCCTAAACTTTTGTCTTATAAATGTTTGTTTTGAACCCATTTCTTTTAGGAAACTTTAACGAAAAACTTTTTATACTGTTCATTTTAACGAAAAACCACATTTTAACACTAAAAAATCAATCTTGGTAATATTCACTTTACTCTTTATTTTGTCATTATCGTTAAAACTCAAAGTTTTCGAATCATTTTCATTAGTTTTTTGTTTTTTTTTTTTATTGCAGGCAAGGTGTTTGTTGGTTGGTCTCACAGAGGTTCATATCATAAATGAAGTAATGGCAGTTGGTTTTAGCATGCTAATTAAATCATTCAGATATTAGGCATAGAATTTCATAATCCTTCCAGCATTTTTTACAAGAAATATGTATACATCAAGGCATTGAATTGGTAACTTATACAAGTTATCTACTAGTAATTTTGTTGAAATGTTCAAAGAAATATTACTACTATACACATTTTCCGCGGCTTGTGGGAATGAGTTCATAAAAAACTACTCATCTCACAATGAATTCCAACCTATCAAAGTAGGCATCACCCCTCTCCGTCGTCCCTAAATTTCCTCCGCCGCAGCTCGCAGTTTTGCTCTTGGCCGGAAACAGCGTAGCTCGGCACAAGGGGCAGGTCACGTGGCCCCGATTGACCCAACTATCCAGACACTCCCTGTGAAACAAATGATCGCAGTTAGACTGCTCCCTCACCTCATGTCTCCTCTCTATGCACTCCAAGCATATACTGCAAGCAGTATCTTGATCTCCAAGTTTTGTGTATTTTTCGAAAACCTGACTAAATTCCACCACCGGAAGCCGCCTCTTGATGTATTCTGTTAGAACGTGGATTGGGACCGGGACTATCGACGGGCACAGGGGATCGATCGCCAGTATCGAATTGGTCGGATTCGGATGGTGGCGGTCCATGGAGTCAGCAGTTGGTTCAGAGGTCTGTACTGCAGGTTTGAGCAGTCCCAGATGGCTAAGCGCCACTATCAGTACGATCTTTAAGCAGTGTGCAAAGATTGGCAGGTTTTGAAGGCCTTTGCGCCATTTGGGGAAGTTAATACCAACACAAGAGAAATCCATGGGGGATAAGAGGGGATGGAATTGGATTTGGAGGTGTTTGTGTTGCAAGAAAAGAAAGCAGATGGATAAATATACACTACTGTGGGTTCCTTCCGGATTGGATTGGGTAAGCAGGATGGGAAAAGTATAAGTAAAGCCGGATGTCGGACGCATTGAGTATTGGATAAGAACGATACAGGCAATCCTATCCCGACGTGTTTCAATTCGGCGGACCTGTCACTGTTTACATTGAACGACAATTGGCCCTTCTAGTTGCCACTGACCCCGGGTGGAATAAAAAGAGGCTTTTAATGTATTTTAAAAGGATTTGGACTTGGCCTTCTACTTTTCAATCTGCAAGTTGCAATAACATTTTAAAGGCTCGATTGGATTAATCGTTAACGTGATGATACGGTTGTCGAGCGATAGTAAAGAAATTAGAATTTAAATTCTGTAGTAAAATTTGTTAGGATTTAGATAAAAAATTTAAAATTTTCGTTAACGGTTAGCGTAAGAGGTTCACATGCGAGGCTGAAATAATAAAGTTAGCCTCACGTGCTAATAATTAAAGGAGAGTTCCGTTTTAGCCTCACATGTGTGACTTACGTGCTAATAATAAAATTTTCAATTTTACGCCTAAATCCTAAAAAACTTCACCACAACCGCTTAATTTCTAATTTTTTTCTACCACAGGTCTATCTTCCGACAATCCTTTTACCATAGAGACTAACGATCCAATTAAGCCCAACATTTTATTATGCGAAATGATAATTACACACTTACACACTCTTATTCAATCTTGATCGTTATTTATATTTGATTTTTTTTTTTTGAGTTTGATGTCAAAAAACAAAGATAAGTGTGTGACAGGTTGAAATAAACGTGTGGAAATCATTTTCCCTTATTTCTCATCCATCTTTGCCGAGAGAATTTTTTTCTACAATGAGAACACAAGTTGTACAAAATGTGTTATAAAATAAGTAGACGAACATCGTAAAATATATTTTCTCTCCACTCATATTATAATAGGTGTAGTTGTTTTTGTTCGTGGTACATACAAAAATATCTCCTCAATATATTAACCAAAGATTTCTACTCTTGGTATGAAGGAAATTGGGATATTTATCCAATGAATTGGCGAAGCAAAAGTATATAATCTCTTATAAACCTATGTGAAAGTTCTAGGATGGTACTAGTTTAACCTAAAAAGGGGGGGGGGTTAATGGGTTCTAATTTAAAAATCCAATTCAAATTTCAATTTAATTTTTAGTTCTTAAATTAAATCCACATTTACATCACATATCAAACTATCATACTCATATGCAATTAAAACGATAAATAAAATGTGCACACAAGATGTAAGATTTAATGAGGCAAATCCCACCATTGGGAAAATCTTCGGGCTCCCAAACCAGGACAAACACTAAAAGAAATGAGTACAGAAAGACTTACAAAACTCATCAACTCGACACGCATACTAGTAGGTAGTTTTGTCTCCGCGCTTTGCTACTGAATCTCCTTCAACCTTCAAGTGGAAGTGACACGATACTAACACGGCCGTCAATCACCTTCTCCTTGAACTTTGCATGATATTAGCACGATCATGCATAATGAATAAAATAAAATGATTTTGAAAATCAATCAATTATGAAAATCACAAGGTACATTTTCATAATTGATTTCTAATTAAAGCACGAACAAAACAATATGAAAAGTATTATTTTCTCGTAAAAATACGCCCTGTCAAAAATCCAAAGCAGTAGAATCAAAATCATTTTCTTCTGTTAAAAACGAAACCAACGAATTCAATGCATGCTAACACAAATTGCAAGACCTTATTCTGACGAAAAACAGTGGCTGCAGTTCTTTTCGTAAATAGCAGAAACCTTTCTTTTGTTTTTTGACTTAAACAATGGAAGTGTGGCAGCAACTAAAACTGAGGAAAAACCATTCTGATACATGGAGCAGCCTAAAACTCAACTCATGCATATGCGGCGCCACTTTGAAACCTAACCTGATGAACCTATAAATATGTCTGTTAGATTAAAGATATCAATCAGGTGGTACTATTTACTTTATCCTTTATTTTTACATTAAAAGGTCAATCCTGGTACTATTCACTTTACCCTTTATTTTGTCCTCATCATTGAAACTTAAAGTTTTTAAACTCTTTTCATTAGTTTTCCTAATTAATTAACATGTAAAGCCCGTATCTCATTTGTTAAACTTAAGAGCTAAACAGCCCATCGAACATAAACCTATATCATGCGAACGCATATGCATGCCAAACTTACTTGAGTGGATGTCTCTGAAACGATTGCCAATTTTGCAATCGAGAGCACGAGAGATAAATTTAGATTAAAATAATTACAACAAAAAATATGTACTAATTTAAAACATTACAAACTCAAACGTTTTGTTTAGAAATAGTCAATTTTATCATAACACTACGCAAAAAGTTTTAATTTTCAAATAAAAAGACATGAATTCACATCATGACATTACTGGCCCACATGAAATTTACTTGTCATATTAGTCGCCTTTGGTGGGTGGGAAAGCAACTAGCAAGGATGATGAACCAACGAAAACGGAGAGGATCCTCTTGTCAGGATTCTAAAAATATCTAAATTATAAACGTTCATCGTATATGTGGTCATTTTTAGTTAAATATTAATTATATTTTAAATTTAAATAAATTTAGTATAATTTTTTATCGCATAATATACAATAAACAATTAAAATGTAAGATTTTTTAAGATGTGTGAATTTTTAAGATCCTCATAACTTAAATCCGAATGAGATCTAAATCCGACGAAAAATACATCTTAAGAATTGTAAATAAAAAAAAAGAGTAAGCATTTATCTTGGGATTATTTTAACTGCACTTTCTAGCTTTTTTGAATTAAAAGCCAAAACAGCAGGTTCAAGTGGTTCTTTTCGGTAGAAGTCAGAACCAACTTGTTGATTTATTTGCTTTAAAAGGTGACATAAAAGCCATGGAATATTATCCGCCTAATGAGAACAAAACCGATGCCATGTGCTGATGTGCGTTCTCCAAACAACAAGAAGATATTTTTTTTTCAAAGGTCAAAAGGTCCACAAAAACATTTTAGTTTGTCCTGTGTTATTATTATGTGATGTCTGAGCATTAAAAAACAAATTTAAGAAATATCGTGTAAAATACGAACCTATAATACAGTTCCAATCAGTAAGCCACTACGTGGTGATTAACAACAACAGTAAGTGTTGCTTTTTCTGCATTTGGACGACAAGAATTAGGGTTTAGTTTTTGTTTGTTTATTTATTGGGCTGGACTTTTGAGTTTTTTATTTTTCTCATTATATAAATTGATTTTTCCCATTATATTTAAATTACTTACTTACGACATTGTATATCTTTGTATTTCTATCTCGGATACTATTAAGAAGATTAAATTTTAAATTAAATAATATAATTATTAATAACTGAATTATTATTATTAATTTACTTATTTTTTATTAATGACAAGTAAGCGTAAGTTGCAACAACCAACGCCTTCGATAATAGGGTTTTAGGAGGTATTTGAGAGATTTTTTAATGTGACTCGTACACGGGGTGGTACACCATATGTTACTAAACAAATGGTGGAATGTGTGCTAAAAAGTTAATAACTTAAAAAATAAATTTCTCACAATTTTTATTAAAATACATAATGTATCACTTGTATTTCTGTCATAACTAAAAATTTCTTGTGAAATGCGAACCTAATATTATTTGAAGAAATTTCATGACAGGTAAGGGATGTACTTTTCGGTCCCACTATTTCTCTTTGTGACCGGGCCAGATTTTTATTTGAAGAAATTTAATATCCCAGATTCGCAAGAAAGACACATCAAGTGTTATAGGATGACAAAATATATGCAAAATAAAACGCCATCTCAACCGTTCAAAGTGGTTGAATCCAACGATCTAGAGTGTGTCAGACTTTGTACAGATATTTCATTACGGTGGGGACTCATTTTCATTTCCAACCCTGCACCCAAAAGCCATTGGAATTTCATCTTCAATTTTTATTTTTTATTTTTTTAATATTATCTATAATAATATAAATGAATGAGTTTAGTCTTATAATAAGATAATAATAATGTGATTCAAACTCGTTTTCAGCGAGAATCGAACCTAAAACCTCTCACTTACCAATGAAGAGGAATATTATTAGACTGTAGTACTAAATGACATCTTCAAGTTAAATTTAATCTTAACTATGCAGTATGGATTTATTATTAATTTATTATTGTGACAGTTCCTGCAACTAATAAACAGTGACATACTAAAATTCCGTATATGAAAAGAGAGAATGAAGTCGAATATACAGTGACATACTAAAAGTCTATACACAGTGACATACTTCATATTAGTTATTCAAGACATCATATAACAATAAACTTATTTCATTTAGATAGTGCTCAAAATTTCTTAAATATGGTTAATACTTTTGTGAAATTATCTGATAAATTAGAAAAATATATAGAAAAACAAATGAAGTCTAAACTTCATCCCATATCAATGAAACTCATAATTTCAACTAAAACTGTTAAATAGCTAGTCCATGGGATAAAAGGAGGGGCTCCATGGGATAAAAGGAGGCAACTGACTGTGTTGAGTCCATGTACATTGCTTCAAGATCTTGGCAACTGAATGTGGAATTTATAGGAACTCAATGGTGTGATGGGATTGGCTTGGCTTAAACAAATGAAAGAGGATAAGTTGGAGCGGATTGGATTGGGTCGGTGAACTGGTTGATGTGGAAAACAGAAGCCGACAGGCAGATGCGGCATTTTCCCAAACAATTGCTTATTTTATTGGGGATAAGATCACTTTGTGCCGTCCCACTTTAATTTTTTTTTTAATTTTTTTAAAAGGGGATTGTCATTTAATATTACAGTTTGGTGGTATTTCTCTTCATTTGAAAGTAAGAGGTTTTCGGTTCGAATTTCGTGAATGACGAATTCAATACCAAATTAGGCTGCCTATTGTGTCGCTTTGTTGAACTCATCATCTCCTTAGTGTAAAAATATCAATGTACTAAAAAAAAAAAAAAGAATTAGTTGGGGGTGTGGATTAGCGTCCATTATTTTAAGCTCAATCTCTTCCTAACTACAATCGTCTGATTTACCCTTAGTGTAAAAATATCAATGTACTAAAAAAAAAAAAGAATTAGTTGGGGATGTGGATTAGCGTCCATTATTTTAAGGTCAATCTCTTCCTAACTACAATCGTCTGATTTACCAGGCAGCATAAATCAAATTTAGAACGTGCTATCCCGAGTTAATGAGTCTTGAGACTCACATGAAATGAAAGTCACATAATTTTCATAATTTTTTTTATCTAATAATGCTTATTACATGATAAAATAATATTAGACAAAATTAAGTTCTCTGAATTCAGCTCAACTGGCTCTCCCTATTAGTTAACGTTTCGTGCTTGGACTTGGTTTATAGTCGTGGACTCGTGGGGGATTCATGAATCTCTTTATTCCTTCACAATAAAACAGGAGTCGAATATTATCTTTAAATTGGAAGAATTTGTATATATACTTGGACTTGGCTCCTAAGCAGGTGACCTGTCCAATATTGTGACGCCAACGCCTATACTAGTATGACTCATCAAAATTGAAAGTATTAAAAAAATGATGAAAAACATTTTTGAAACAAAAAATATTAATAAATATGATTATGTATTTTTATTACATTATTATTATTTTTTTGTCAAAGGATAACTTTTATTAAATTAATCGAAACGTTTACATCTACAACAAGAATATTAAATAAAAACTCTAGACCAAGAGCATCCCAACGGAAAACACCTCCATGCGAGGCAACATATGAGGCTACAGCATGAGCAGCGACATTTCCATTCCGCTTGACAAACACAAACCTCACTCCTTCTAATTGAGATGCCAAATGACCAATATCATGGATAAAACACTCCAAAGTAACATCTACCACATACTCCCCATTAAGCATACTAATTATCACTTGAGAGTCATACTCAATCTCCACTTCCTAAAAATACATCTCAAAACATACCATTAATGTCACACGAATCGCAACAGCTTTTGCCATCACCGCATTATTGGAAAATACGCCTCCTTCCCCACCTGCCGCTTGTAGCAATCCTGCAAAGTCTCTCATAACCCACCCATATCCTCCTTTGAGTGTCTTCCCACACCATGCACTGTCACAATTAATCTTAAGCACACAATAGTTGGGCCACCTCCATCGAATTCATTGTCCAGCAAAGATAGCTCCATCACCTTCCTCACAAAGGACAAGAACTTGCTTCTTAGAATTATAGCATGCTCTGAATTCAATAAGTTGATGTCTCACCAAATTACTATTAATTATTACGTTAGTTACTTTTCATAATTGTAATAGTATTTTTGAAACAAAAATATTAATAAAATAATGAAAAACATTTATTAATCATCAAAAATAGATGTGAAGTTGCTGTCAATTCACATCATACCCTATGGGAATTTGCATTTTGGTTGGACAATATTAATGTTATCTTTATGACCGTTATGATGTGGCATTTTTGACTCCATATTTGGAAATGCTGTTAGGAGTAAACTTTACTTTTTGCAAATTTTAGAATTCGTTTCAAAGCGTTTTTAAATTGATTGAAAGTATCATTGGTTAAAATATTTTTGAAACTATTTATTAGTAAAAATTTAAGTGGATCTTGAAGAAATATTTATAGTGCTTCTTGTGAAAAACATATATTTGGTGTTTTTTTTTCTTTCCAAAAACCATTTAAAATATTTTTGGAACTCAAAATGAATTTCGCCAGAAGCACTCGGTCATTTTAAAAACAATTACAAACGAGTCTTTATTCTCTCTCTGTGACTAGTCACTCAAATTCATAGAATTATTAGCCATAACCATCTTCTTAGTGCTTGGAAGCTTCAACTGATGTGCTGCTTCCTCACACTTTTCCTCTTTTTTTTTTTTTTTTTTTTGTGTGTTGTTGTCCAGTAAACAACACTATCACGAATTTTCTCAACACCACCACCAATCACTTCCAGACCATCCTTCACAATCAAGTTTAATATATGCGCACAACAATTCATGTGAAAGAACCCTCCACCCAACAAAAGTGAACTACTATAAAGTTTTTCAAGAATAAGATCAATCATTTTATCATTTGTAGTGCAATTATCTACGGTTAAGGTAGAAAGCTTACAATCGAGGTTCCAATCTAGCAAGCACTCCATCAAAACATCTGAAAGTGTCTCGGCGGTATGCGGACAAGGCACATAAATAAATCTGAAAAAGTTACAAAGAAGATGGTTACAATAAAGAATTTGAAATATAAATCTAAAGCTAGACAATAATTAAATAGATATTAAAGTATTAAAAATATCACCTTATTATTTGGCTTTGCAACGTCCAAGAGTCATCAATAAAATGTGCCGTTATTACCATAAATCCTTTGTTCTCATTACTTGCGGTCCACATATCAGTAGTTATAGCAATTCTACTTTTATTTTCATCCAACAATTGCATTGTTTTCGAACGCTCATAATCATATATTTTTAGGATATCACTTTTGATTGTGTTTCTTGAAACAAACTTAAACAATGCTTGGACAACACTCATGAAGTTTCTAAATCCAACACGCTCAACCAAGGAAAGAATACAACTCTACTTTCCCATTTCCCACTTTTTGGTTAGCATTTGCTTCAATTTTTTTTTGTCTCCGACGCGGACATATCGTCACATGATGCCTCAAATGGCTGGTTCCATTTCCAGTGTTCCCATCAAGCTTCTTGTTACAATAATTACATATTGCTTTCATCACCCCATCAACTACTGTTCTTATGTAATGTTGCCACACCAAACTGCGAAGTCTCGAATTATTACCTTCACCATCATCACCTCCAGGTTCCTCAATCTCACTAGCGACCTCATTAGGAGTTGGTATATCTTGGGGCCGAGCAATTTGATTTGGTATTTCTTGTTGCACAACACTTGGATTCAATATAGGTGCTAGATTACAATTAGTTGGGGTAGATATTGTTTCTTCTTGAGACTTAAATTTTCTTTTAGACATTTTGATTGCTACGAACACAACCAAATCCATTAATATGTAAATGAAGACATGGTATAATACTGAAACTGAATCAATTAACATGCAAACTAAATATATAACAACAAAAAAGAAGACAATTATTGATTTAATTTTTCATAATTTTATGGGCTCATAAAATATGTAATAAACTAGAAAACTGACGCTAATTGAGAATTTGCATGAATCAAATAACATGAAAAAGAATGAAAGAGTACCTATTGAGTTGACAACATGCACCAATTTATTGACAATGAAACTCTTGAATAGATATGAATCTGATAAACTTGGAACATTTGATAATTGATATATAAAATGATTAAATGAATTAATTTAGTTGAGTATAACAATAAGAGTATTGAATGGATGAGGTTGTTGGTAACTTGGTATGCCCCATGCATGATGTTTGGTGCATAATAAAGATAGTATAGGGTTTGATGCATGCATAATGAATTAGTATAGAGAGGGTTCGGTAAATTGAATAAAATTATATTATATATCAAATATATATATATATGTAATAATCGGGTCGAATTCGGACACGGATATGGATTGGGGACCCCTATAATCATATTCAAAACCATAACCAAAAAAAATTCACGGTTTTTCCCCATATCAATACCATACCCGAATTTTAATATCCAAATCCAATTCATTCGGATAATTATCTATGGTTATCGGATTTAACGGTTATAATTGTTATCCCTAATTTTCAACGAAAATCAGCAATCGAATGGGGAAAACGAAAAAAAAGAAAGGTCCTCGTACAAAAAGTATTTCCAACCATCATATAAGTCGTATGGAAGAATTTTTTACAACCAATGACCAACTTTTATCCTCGAAAAAAATATTTTTGCGAAGGTAGAATTCCTTTTTCGACAGGATTTGACCCTTGCTAATAACGTTTTAGTAGTTGCAATTTTGATTCTTGAATAGTAGCCGGTGGCTGCGAATCTGCAATTCATGAAACAATTCATTTTGTTTGCAAAATAGTTTGAAACCGAATTAAAACGGTTTGGAATCGAACCAAATCAAAACCAAATAGTTTGATTCTATTTCGGTTTTAGCTTTAAAATCGCACCGAGTTGAACCTAAAAACATTTTTTCGGTTTCAGTCAAAGCTCCACCAAACCGAATCGTGCTCGCCATCCCTCTCTATCGTTCCTGAACTTCCTTCGCCGCAGCTCGTTGTTTCGCTCTTAGCCGGAAAGTAACAATGGAGATCTGCACAAAGGGCAGGTTACCTGGCCCTGATCGACCCAACTATCCAGACACTGCCTGTGAAACACATGATCACAGTTGCACGGTTCCCTCACATCATGGCTCCTCTCTATGCACTCCAAGCATATATTGCATTCTGTCTCCCGACTTTCAGGCTTTGTGCATTTGTCGAAAACTTGACCAAACTCTACTGCCGGAAACTTCCTCTTGATGTATTCTGTTAGAACATGGATCGGCACGGGAACTGCCGATGGGCACAGACGATCCAGCACAACAAAATGATTGTTAGTTTGTCGACGACGATATTCGTCCAACTCAGTCATCTCTTGGGAAGGTTTGAGCAGATCTAGATGGGAAAGTGCAACTATCAACAGGATCTTCAAGCAGTGGGCGACGACGAGCAGTGTCGTAAACCATTTCGGCACTTTAATACCAACCCAAAACGCCATGGGATATGTATATATATATATATATATATATATATATATATATATATATATAAATCGAGAGGAATTGAAGGGTTTGTGTTGTCGAGATTGCAAAAGCACAAATGGGTGGATATATATAGAAAATTAGACAAGAGAGTGCAAAATGTACCTACCCTTTAAAATATCATTATAATTGAAGCCTTTAACATGTGGTAACAACAGTTCCCGCGTGAATAGGTGTTTTGCTAGTTGGCATTTAAGAGCAGTTCCAGCGTGGAAATCCCTAGACAATACATACTATTCACCTAGTGAATAGTAACTGCTTTTAATGAACAGTAATAAACTTCTTCACCGTTACACTCCAACACTCCAGATTGTGCCACGTGGCACAACGGTAACATTTCAGAATTTTAAATTGTTTTTTTTTTTTTAATTTACATAGCCTAATCACGTGGACCGTTGATCTCAGATCCAACAGCTGAAATTAAATGAGGTTTTTAATTTTTTTTTTTTACCTTTGAAAATCCAACGGTCTATAAAATATAGCCGTTGAAATCCACCGGACACGAGGAAGCCACGTGGCCTCCCCAACGATAAGAAATTTGAGTGGGCCGCGGGCCCCATTTATGAATTTATGTCTCTTGACGCCCGCCCACGCGCCTGACAGAAAAAAAATTAAAAAAGCGGCTGACGTCACCCTGACGTCACACCCACTTTGGGTTCTCGGGCTGGTAAATTGTGCCAGGCCTGTCCCTCGAGCTGCCACATGTTGGACCAAATCCGTCGGGCTCTCTGGCCCTGTTCACCCCACTGTCCCCCGAGCAAGTGCTCCCACTGGAGCTGCTCTAAAAATTTGAAATCTCCATCGTAACAGAGTCCGGAGGATTTCGAGAATTTGTGAATCGTGTCTGTTCAACAGATATTGTGCGGTCAAAAATTATTTTAAATATTTTTTTAAAAAATAAATATAAACAGTACTTGATAAAATTGACAGCATAATATACAATAAACAAATATAATTTACGAATCTCCAGAATCCTTACCAAAAAACCTGAAAAGAATCTGGATCCTACAATACTTTAGAATTTTATATTTTTATCTGTTTTAAAAAAATGACACGCTTTTCTTAAGTATTGTGATTGATGGAACATTTCGAATTTTGAAGTGCTAAGTAGGAAAAAAACCTTACTCACGCCGAACTGTTGTTATGCACTTGTAGGAAGCCTCAATTGTAATGATATTCTGAAAGGTAAACTACATTATGCATTCAAGTTTGTGTAAATACAATTTTATAAAATATTTTTAAAATATTTCGATCTCATGCACTCTTCCTCTCCTTTGTCGTCAACGGATCGCACAACACTTTTTCTCTTTGTGACAGTAATGACCTCTCATCCTCATTTTATTTTCATCTTTTTATTCTTCCGCTATTTCATAGTTAATTGGGGAAAGATGATTAGGTTTGGGATTAGGTTTTTGAGTTATGGCATTGGGAGGAAGTTTATTCGATTGAATTTTTTCTCACGAATTGAATTTAACATAGAGAATGAATGCCAGAAATCTTTTATGTCCAATCAAAGTAATTAAGAACCCAATACCCAACTCATATACTATTCCTCAATTCCAGTTTTGAATATTATTCTAGTACAAACAAAACAATGGATCTTCAGTTCAATTTGATTTTTGCTTAGGGTGGTAACTGGCAAAAGGGTTAGCTTAACCGATTGCAATTTTCTCACGGGTCAAAAATTATGACAGAGTATGAAAGCCATTATTTTTACTTTTATTTTCAACTTTGATCTTGATCATCAATCTTCAAACTTGGTATGCTTCACTTTGATTTATAAAGGTTTCTAACATTCAAATTTAAAAAGATAAGTAAGAACCCCGTTTTTGAAAAATTCAAGTCTCGTGCATGAATATTACTTATTAAAGTTTGAAATTCAGTCACATGATCCTGTAAAAAAGCTTTTTATACATTGTATAATGATCACTTTCGCATCATCGTTTGGTGGTAAGGATAAGTAGGGTACTCGAAATTGTACAATTATGGAAAATGTACAAAGAAAAGTTACTTGTACTGTTTTACAAAGTCTGAGCTAGGCTTGCGGGCAAGAGCAATGAATTCTTACCTATTAAAATAAGTTACTTACGGCAAGAAAAGCCAGTAACTTTTGTAGAAAATATACAAAGAAAAATTGCTTCTACAGAGTCTGTGGCTTGTGGGCAAGAGTTCATAAAAAACTACTTACCCCACAATGAATTCTAACCTATGAATGTAAGGATCCCTCTCCGTCGTCCCTGAATTTCTTCCACTGCAGGCCGTTGTTTCGGTCTTGGCCGGAAACGACAGGGCTCTGCACAAAGGGCAGGTGACCCGCCCTTGGTTGACCCAACCGCTTAAACACTATGTGAAACACATGATCACGGTTGCAGTGTTCACTCACCTCATGAATTCTCTCAATGCACTCCAAGCATATGCTGCAAACTGTCTCCTGATTATCATGCTTTGTATATTTTTCAAAGACTTGACCAAACCCTACTACTGGAAGACTCTTGATCTGTTAGTACATAGAGAGGCACCGGGGCTATCGCGTATTGCTTACATGATCACTCCATTCCTCGCCATATTGGACTATGACATTAAGTTCAAGTTAAGCTCAGTATATATTATGGCCCATTTTGAACTTGTTTATGTGTCACGGGCTACCCAGTGAGGTACTCTTGATTAAGAAAGCAAAAACATTCTTGAAGAATATATTCAAGAAACTACTTTCACAGTACGAGGCATGTCGGCAAGAAGTTACCAACAACGTTATTACTCATCCCACAGTAAATTCCAACAATCTAACCTAATCAATGTAAGTTCCTTAAGCAAAGAAATATTTAGAAATTTCATAACAAAAATTCACAGAAAAATCATTTTTACACAGTCAAGACTTGCGGGCAAGAGTTCATAAAAACCTACTAAAGTAAGCTTCATCCCTCTCCGTCGTCCCTGAACTTCCTCCGCCGCAGCTCGTTATTTCGCTCTTGGCCGGAAACAACAGAGATCTGCACAAAGGGCAGGTTACCTGTCCCTGATTGACCCAACTATCCAGACACTCCCTGTGAAACAAATGATCACAGTTCCAAGGTTCCCTCACCTCATGGCTCCTCTCTATGCACTCCAAGCATATACTGCATCCTGTCTCCCGACTTTCATGCCTTGTGTATTTTTCGAAAACTTGATCAAACTTTATTACCGGAAGCTTCCTCTTCATGTACTCTGTTAGAACATGGATCGGGACGGGGACTGCCGACGGGGACAGACGATCCAGCAAAACAAAATGATTGTCAGTTTGTCGACGACGATACTCTTCCAACTCGGTCATCTCTTGGGAAGGTTTGAGCAGACCTAGGTTGGAAAGTGCAACCATCAACAGGATCTTGAAGCAGTGGACGAGGACGAGCAGTGTCGTAAACCATTTAGGCATCTTAATACCAACACAAAATGCCATGGTATTGTATAAGTGGAGAGGAATTGAAGGGTTTGTGTTGTTGCAGATAGCAAAAGCTGAAATGGGTGGATATATAAATATTGCAGGAAAAGTAATGGGAGGCAGATTCATTGTCCTCCTATTTTCCGTGTCTTGCTATTTGTACGATTATAATTAAATTACATTAATATTTTATATTTATTTTTATAAAAAATATAATATAAAATATTAACATAACTTAACTGTAATAATAAAAAATAAAATGATACAAAAAATGAGAGAATAGAGAATCTATCTCCAAAGTCCAAAGTAATGAAGCCCCACAATTATTTAGAGTTTTTTATTATTTTGTTTTGTTAAAAAAATACACGCTATTCTAAAGGAATGAGAAGTATTGTGATTGATGGACAATTCGAATCTTTAATGAGAAGTATTTAGAGTTTTTTATCATTTTTTATTGAGACCCTCTCCTGCCCCATCTCTATCTTCCCCATTCTTTTCAATTTTTATCGTGACCCTCTGTCCTGCCCCATCTCTTTTCCTTACCCCATAGCCACAGCCTTTTCAGTCACCACCAGCTGTCTCCCCTTGCTTTCTCTCCCTTCCCTACAAATTCCTTTCTTTTCATCCGTTCTTGATTTTGTGTATGTTTAATTTAGGTCGCCACTGACACACGAGATTGAGTCGGGAATGAATCGAAGTGATTGTAGTCGTTGCCGACGAATGATCAAAATTGAAATTCCAAAATCCTCATCGTCTTTCATTCTGATTTTGGTCATGAAACCATAATCCCGCAGGCCATGAAACCTGCTAAATCTTCCTTTGACAGAGAGAGCAGAGACAGAGGTTGAAGGAAGAAGGAGATAAGGGTATATTGGGCAGAAAAAGTTGATTCCGGATGGATGCTTTTTTTGGGAGTCCGAATACCACATATTGTTTGGTAGTCCAATTCCGAGAAAATCAACAACCTGATTCCCCATTTTAGATGGGCTCTATCTACCGACACTTCCATTCCCCCAGTGTTGGTAAACACCGGAATCCCTTAAAAGTAGTGCAATTCCCATTCCCTTCCTTCTATTCTCCTTACGTAAGCACACGTAAACATGCAAGTGTCAAGTGGCAAAACACCTCATTCTCGCCAGACTGTTGTTCTCAATTAAAATGATATTCTAAAATTATCATAATTTTTAAAATTAAAAAAAATGTTATTGGTATTTTAAAAATCTTATTCTACACCTCACAAGTGTATTTTTTTTTTTTAAATATAGAAAGTTTAGAGTGCAAAATGAAAAATTTAGAGTGCCAATAACAATTTCCAAAATTAAAGTTAAAAAGATTGACTTTTTAAAACTAAATTTTGTAAAATATAGATATGGTGGTTGATAATTAAATTATTATTTAAGTATTAATTAATACTTTTATTTTTTATTAATAACATATCATATAATTTATAAATTTAATTTAAAAAATTTAGTCTAGTAACATTACCTAATTAATAAAAACATTCGAATTTTTATGTACATCACCAGCTGCCGACATACTCATTTAGAACTGAATTATGTGGAGTTGTGGATAAACAAATGTTTTGAGTCAAACATAGTGCGTGGTGGAAGTCACGTAATGTCATTGGGTGGCCACTGGTCAGTACAATAAGGTCATCTCCAATTGAAGGGTACAGATGATCGAAAATAGTTCAAAAATTGTTTCCAACCAAAGGTTAGGCCAGATAGCTCGTGGAATCTGAGAGGGCCTCACGGAATCCGAAAGGGCTGGAGGATAACCGACAAGAATCCTTAAGCTAAAATTCAAATGCAACGGCTAGCTGACGTCAGCTAGCCGTTGCATTTGATTTTTATTTTTTATTTTTACTTTTTACAGTTTTATGATTATTTTTTATTTAGAAATTTTTTTCTATAATTTCTATTTCACAAAATTTGTTTCATATTTTTTTTTAAATTCCTATAACTTCTATTTCACAAAATTTGTTTCATATTTTTTTCCTATAACTTCCTAAGCCATTATACAACATTAAATTAAATTAAGTAACATGAAACAACATTAAACAATATGAAACAACATTAAATAACATTAACCAACATACAAATTATACAACATAAAAAATAAAAATAAAAACATTTAACAACATGAAACTTAAACAATATTTTTAAAAACATTTAACAACATAAAACTTAAACGCATATGTCATGCTGACGTCACTTAGCCGTTGGATTTGAATTTAAGTTGTAATTTTTAAATAATAAATTATATTTTGCCCTATGGCCCTTTGGTCCTCGGTTAGAGACGGTTTTTTGTGATAAGGTTAAAATAAGCCAGCTGGCCAACCTTTGGTTAGAGTTGGCCTAAGATTTGTGTCATTTTCTAGGCCACCTATTGGATGACACTATTTTGCGTAGGAATCCAATTTATGTGTGTATGAAAAAGTGCAGAGCACCTCTCCCTAATTTCAACGGTGGTGTATTTAGGCCGTGGGGTCAATATCATACCAACAGGATCCTCTTTGGATTTCTTTGGTGAGGATTCTGAAAATTTGTTCATTGTATATTGTGTGGTTAGTTTTTGTCAGGTACTGTTTGTGTTTAATTTTAAATAAAAATATTTAAAATAATTTTTGACTGCACAATATATAATAAACAAATATAATTCACTGATCTCCGTAATCATCATAAAAAGGATGTGGCGAAGATCCGAATTCAATATCATATACCATATCATATCATTCGTCCTTTTGACATTTTTTGAAATATTAGAAAAATACTTTCATTTCGAAAAGAAAAAATCTTCTCTTTGGCTTGTTAATTGACAAATGGAAGCATCATCCACGTTAGTAGTTGCATCATTGTGGGGAAGCAAGAAATGATGGCCACCACGAAAAGAAAGGTCATCCAAAGAGTGAAGTAAGGAGTTGATTTTTTTTAACCTTTCAAAGACTAACCAAAATTCTATATCCGGATTGTTCTAATTGCAACTGACTTTGCCTTACGATATATTGCCGTTGGGATAGGTGGGAATCGGAATGGTTATTTTTTAGATCAAAAGAAAAGTTACAATGAAAAATTCCTTGCGCAAGAAGAATGGTTATTTAACAATCTCATGTTTACCTTCATCTCTAAACTTTTATATTAATTCCTCCCCTTTTTTAACTTTATTTCTCATTCCGAGTGGTATTTTTGCCAAGTCTATTTTCTTTGCAAATTTAAGGATATAGTGGTCTTGTAATACAGAAAAAAAAAATCAAATTTATTTGAAAAGGAGAAGAGCTTGGCTCCTTAATGTTAAGGAGGAGTTCTTCCTCAAAATACTTTGTGGACCATTCGCAAAATTTCGTGTGTATAATCGAAACTTATCATATTATATTATATATCACTATGTAAAAATCATCTCTGCAAAAAATCAATCAAAACTAAAATTGTTTATCAATCTTTGAGGAGTTCCGATCAGAAGCACAGTTATTGTGAATGTCACGATGTATTTTAAGGAGTTTCTTCTCAATCTTTGAGAAGCCAAGTAATTCTCCTTAGCAAATTCTTTTTTTTTTTTTTTTTTGGATGAAATTCTTATTTTATCCCTTAACTTAACAAAAAAGTTAATGAAGTTAACGAAAATGACTACTAGTGCAACAGATGACATAATTCGAGGACAGGAAAAATATTAATAGAGTTCAAGAATTAAAACTAAACTCGTGGTATGAATCAGGAATCTTTGGTACAATTTAGCTTACATGTTATTATCTAAGTATATGGGTTTTCTTATCTTTGTGCATTTAGGTTAGTTTTTTCAGAACAATACAAGAAAAAGGTCATTGTTGACCGTGATTGGTGTAAAGCCAAAGTAGTAGCACGCCTAAGAAACCAATTATTGGTGCATGTCCTGAATAAGGATGGTCTCCGTTGTCCTCTTTAATTTTGTTGCGGTAGTGATGGGGTTGACACCCTTACACTTGATGCAGTGTCTCCTGCCTTTGTACCCCCATCACTGCTCTGTGTTTGCTTTCCCTGGTTGTTGCCTCCTTGTAGGCCTCCTTGTCCCTTTGGCTTCGGCCCTGGAATTGCCCTTTCTAGTTCTCCAAAAAAAAGGAAACCAATTATTGGTTTATGGTTTATTAAATTAATAGCTGAAGAAAGTGACATATGACCAAATGCATTGTCTATGATTACAAATTATTGGTGACAGGTATGGCATTGCCTGCACCTAAACCATGTGCATTTTCTATGATTACAATGTCCAAACTATAAAGAATGCGGCTTTTGGAATATATACGGTGATAATTTTTTTTTACAATTAAGGTTATTGATAGAATATGATTAGTTTATACTGAAAATTTAACTTTAACCTTTCAAATTTAATTTTTTTTTCATATAAAACCCGACATAATTTTTTTACTTAAAAAAAAACCCAGTGATTAGGATCAACCTAAGTGAATTCATTAATTACATATTACTTTACACATTTTACCTACCATGTATACAAAAATGTTATTTGAATCAAAATATATAATCTGGGTTTTCTCAAAAAAAAAAATATATATATATATATATATATATATATATAATCTAGGTGTAGTGTGTGTGTGTATATATATATATATATTTTATATAATTGGAACAAATTAATTTACCTACCTATAAATTAATTTTCAATAATTTACCTACAAAAAAATTATACCCCATGTGTAATATAATATATTTTTTTCACTAATACATGGAGAATAATTTACCCATAACAAGAAGAAATGTAATTTGATGTATTATATTGAAAAATATTATGTCATACCTACATTTATACAACAATAAAACGTGAATAATATATGTAACAATACATGAAAAGTAATTTACCTACAAGTTAGAGAAGTGTTATTTGATTCAAAATATATAATATGGATTTAGTATAATTTTTTTTTAATAATTGGAACAAATTAATTTACTTCCCAATTAATACAAAATATATATATATATCACAAAAAAGGTAAATTTTTGGTATGATATGGATACAATTAATGCAATACAACAGTTTATACTTTTTATTTTACTTTTTCTACAACTTTTAATTTGGAATAAATTTAGGGATTTGGGAAAGTAGCATATGTGACAATCTGTTCTTAATTTTACGATTTTATAAATTTCAAAAGAGTAATTTTACGAAAATGCCCTTAGAGCAAGGAGGTTGATTTTCGTTGACCGTCTTTTCGTGCCGTGTACAAGCTACTATCTTAGCATATTTTCAAAGTACTCAATAATATAAACGTTTGAGTACAAGCAGAATTCAATTTACAGCTACGATACGACGAAGATTTTATGGACTTACGAAGTTCAATAAGAATATTTTGATAAATTCATTATCCTCGATAAACACCCTTTTATTATTTTATTAATTTTTCTGTGTAAGATTTCTCCATGATGGGATCCACCCACATGGGTCTCATATCACCCTTGTCCCTGTATCCCTTAGAGCACTTCCACTGGGGGTGGGATAGGGCGGCACACAACCAAAAAAATGGCCCGGCACCTAGGGAAGTCCCTCCAGCCCACAGGATTGCCTGGCATCCAGCCCAAGCTGGTCTCCAGGCCAGCCCAAAATTGACAGACCTTGGGACCGGCCCATATGACGCCGTGGTGATGTCAGCGATGGATGGAGCGACGGAGGGAGAAGGCAAATGGCCTGAAAATGATGGCCCGAGTTCGACAGAAAATCTGAAAAAAATTGCACTGACAGCAAGTTTGCATCAACACAAAGGTTTCCAACACGATTTATATGTTAGAAACCATAAGAATAGAATTGAGAACTTACCCAGGTGAAATGCAAGAGATTTCACCGAGATTGGACCTTGAACTCGTCGGAGTTGTCCGTTTTCCTTTGTCGGAATCACATGCAGGGAATTAAACCCTCAAATTAACCACAAAAATTGCAACACAACAGGATTTAAAGCTCAAGAACACGATACAGTGATAGAAACATCACCTGGGTTAGAGATTGAGAGCTCAAGCTCTTGGCTTCAATGGTGGGATCTCGCACCATGCACCGATGCTGCATGCAAGGCCATGGTTGGGTTCCTTGAGCTCCAAGGATTACAAAAATAATATTTTGTGTTTGATTTGTTGAAGGTTTTGAAGAGGAATGAGAAGAAGAGCTCACGGGAGTGAGCTGCAAAAGAGAGAGGGGGAGAAAATAGAGAGAGAGGGAGAGAACCGGTTGGTAGGAAGGGTACAGAGGGATGACTTTATCTTTCTTTTTTTTATAATACAATTATTATTTTATAATAAATAATAATAATATTTTAATAAATTTGACTAGGCTATTTTTTTTTAAGAATAGAGATGCTCTTGGCATATTACTGTTTATTGGAGTCTATCACTGTTCACTGAGTGGATAAAATCTTTAGAGATGGAATTGATCTTATCTCTTTTTGACTCTTTTTTTTTATTTTAATTTTTGGGACCACTCTCTTGCTGCCATGTGTTTTCGCTCTAGCACTCTGAGCTCTCTCCTTTCCCGACTTCTCTTTCTTTTCTCTCTGCAACTACCGGCGCTGAGGCCGTCCACCCCACTCACCGTATTCTTTGGCGAGCCACACCACCATCACCACACTGTCACCACTCCGGCGAGCCGGCCACCGTGACTGCTATGCTCGGAGACTCTCTAACTCTCCCGACGAGCTCTCTCTTTCTCTCAGACTCCTCCCTTGCTGCAACACCGGGAGCACCACCTCCGGTCTTACTCGCCATTCCGGCGAGCATCGTCACCAACGATCACCATCTAAATTAACAAAAAAAAAAAAAAAAAAAAAACCTTCCTAGTCACGATTCCAAACCAGGCAGAGACCCTTCTTCCCCCTTCTTTCTCTGCACAGTGGCACCGCCACTGTTCAAGAATCTCTCTGGCGATTTCTCGCAATTTCCGGCGAGGGTAAGCTTCGAAAACTCTTTAAACCTTCTTCGATCATGTTCTAGAATACGATTAGGGTAACGTTGTGATGTTTTGGTGACGTTTTGCTACGGAAATTGTGCGAGGGGAAGTTCCCCAGTCTCCGATGAGGAAACCGGGCCTTTTGCAGGCTTTTTCCGGCTAGATCAGGCCACGGCAAGGGACCACAATGGTATAATTCAAATCCCTACCCTCTTAACTTCATTTTGGTAATTAAATGGTAAATTATGGTTAAAGTTTTGGAGCTCTATTTTGCTGTCCACCCGCCGGAGAAGAAGAAGAAGAAGAAAAAAAAAAAAAAAAAGAAAAAAAAAATAGTAGGGCTTCAGCCAAACTCGGCCCAAATCATAAACCCAACCCTTCGGCCTTTGTCCCAGGCCGGCCCGTTTCAGACTTGGGCTCAGAATATTCTCTGGAATATTCTTGGAATATTCTCTAAAATATTCTTGGAATATTAGGTTGGTCTTTTCAGAAAATTTTCGAGAACCCTCCTAGGCAAATTTCGATGTTCCGAGTTCATTTTTTGACATCCATTTAGTGAAATTCCAAAGTTTTAACTTGGTTGACCATCAAGGCGTATCAGTTGACTTTTTAGGGTTTGTCCTTGATTTTCTCATTAACTTTTTACAAAATCTGCCAGTGACTCTTCTTAGCGTATTTCTACGTCTTGACTTCAAATTTGCACTTTGCTTTCTCAAATTTAATTGTTTTAATGGAGTTTTACTAATGGGTCGTAATATTATGCTTAAATGCGATTATTATCGGTGACTTCAGCTATTCTAGTTCGAACGGGTTTGACTCAACGACATGATCTATGAGTGGGTCTTTTCCTTTTTATAGTGTGTGTGTGTGTGTGTGTGTGTGTGTGATTGATAATTTCCATTTATGCATTTGAAAAAGAATTTCCTACGTATGCCTGGATTAGACTAAAGTTTATATGTGATTGATAATTTCCATTTATGCATTTGAAAAAGAATTTCCTATGTATGCCTGGATTAGACTAAAGTTTATAAGAATTAGCGAGAAGACAGAATTTGTGAAATATGCTACATCATACAGGATGCACAGGTGTGCTTATAATCTTTGATGCCATAATTATATCTACGGCTATGACTGTTAGTATGTTGATTAGAACTATCAAATCACTATGGCATACGTATATTTATGTAGTCTGCTCATCATTGCTGCACCTCGATGTTAGTGCTCTCCTAGGACCAGGGAATGCTCGCCCTTATGAAGCTACTCGTACAATGCTTCTGGTTGAGAGCCATCATGGAGCATATTCAAAGCACTTGCTGACTTTCTTCTGTCGTTGATGTTCCTACAATGATTTAAAGATAATACTGCCTATATCGACCAGATAAAAAGGGATACATCAAATAAGACAACACCAATCATATTGTGCATAAATTCTTCTTTTCAAATCAGCAACAAGAGCATCAAAAAATTAAAGTCAAGCAAATCTATTCCTAGGACAACCTAGCCAACTTTACAAAGTCATTGCCATAGTATACTTTCCAGAAACTTGTTCAAAGAATTGCTATGTGTAAGTTGTCTGATTTGAATTGTTTGTAGTTCTCATTTGGAAGTTTTGTCAAACTTAAGAGGAGTATCCAAAAGTGCACTCACTTGGTCTTAATGTACTATTTTCCCTACGATTAGGAGTATTTTTCCATTTAGGTTCTTGCTAGCTGACGAGGTTCTCATTCGGGGTTGGTCGTACCTCTGTGTACATTCTACATGCGTCCTAAAGGCGTTTAGTTTTAACTTCATGCAATTTTTTTTTTCTCTTTAGATTATGAGTTTTTATTCTACACTGGTTTCACCATAACGAGGTTTTGTGAGTTTTACTACTTATACATTCTTGTTTGTTTTGAGCTTGCATTCGCTCGTTATGCTGACAGCTTCATCAACTGTTCTTACTTTCATCACTAAAGACCAGGCAAGACATTTTGTTTGAGCATTTACACACTCAGGGGGAGTGGGTTGGTCTCCTAATTTAATTAAAAATGTGATTGTGTAAATCGTTATGGAATTCTATAGTATCTTTTAGATAGTGTCCTAACTAAGATGTATTACATAAAAAGGTAAGGATTCTCCATTTCTTACTACTGTAATTAAAGACACAATGAAGTGAGATAATACACACCTCAAAATTCACTAATTCTCTCTTCTCTCTCTTCCCACCGCACCCTCTCTTTCTCCTTCTATATTCTTCAGTTAAATAGGCCTACAACACTATCTTAATGAACTATGTCCCTTTTAAGAGAAATTCATGGACACTCTTGTATTGATTACATTATTGTGCCTTGTTTGGCGAACTGGTCAAAACATGACAAATACTAATGACATGGAAACTTGATTCATTAAAATGGACAAGTGGCCAACATATACGGAATGAGACTTAATTCCAATCTTGTCTTAACCTGCACACCAAATTGAGTGTTTGGTATAAAAGAATCATATTGGAACGGAAAATATAGTAAAGATGTTATTTTCATTGTATGTTGAAGAAAGAAATCAAAAAATTACGATTAACTTGGAAGGAGAGGAGATGGATTAGTAAAGAAGAAACTTTTCCATTGCAATTACAGTGGGCTAATTCGACCTCGTGACATAACTCATCCAACTACTTTAATCTTGTTATCACCAAACAATTGATTAGATAGTGTTGTTCTCTCCAATCTAATGCACTTCACTACAATCCAATCCTAGTCACCAAGCATACCCTCTAGCATATCTCCAGGCTTAAGCCAGCTTTTAAATGATTTACATCACGACGATCAGATGATAATTGATAGTTGAAGTTTCATTTAGGCGCATCATAAGGTGGCCCGTTTAACTCAATTTGCTCACCTCAGGCTGGGCCATGAACAGATTGCAATCGTAAATCCCAGCCCAAAACGTATTTAACTGTTAAACTGCCACCCGCTAAAACCAGCAAGCAACTACTCTGCTCCCTACGACGTCGTTTGCTCTGCGTTGTAGCGATTGCGGTCGTCTCTTGGAAGATAGGAGTCCACTGGGTTTTATCCAAAACTTTGCCTCCCTTCCTGAGACTCTACTCAGTGAACTCAAACCTCTCCCATGGCGTCCTTCGTGTCTACCTACCACCACGTCCTCTCCCCTATCTCTTCTCAGAAGACCAACGGCCGCGACAATGTGAAGACTCAACTCTCTTCCTCCCTCTGGGGCTCGTCGATAAGCATAAGCAGCATGTTCTCCTCCAACCCCACCACCTCCCTCCAATTCCAGACCCGGCGGCGCCTCAGCGTTACCGCCATGGCTCCGCCGAAAGCCAAGCCCGGCGGGAAAGCCAAAAAGGGTATTTCAAATTCCCTATTCGTTTCGTCTCCGACGAATTTGAGCTCGTTTCGTTGATGGGTTTTCGGTTTTGCAGTGATTGGAATGATAAAGCTGGCGTTGGAGGCCGGGAAGGCGACTCCGGCTCCGCCGGTTGGGCCGGCGCTGGGTTCGAAGGGTGTAAATATCATGGCTTTTTGTAAGGATTACAATGCCAGGACGGCGGACAAGCCTGGCTATGTCATTCCAGTTGAAATCACCGTCTATGATGTTAGTCTGTGTTACGAATTTGGTATAATTGTTCAAAATGTTTGGTTACTTTTTGTAAGATTGCGACTTTGTTATCATATTTTTTGATGGCAGGATAAGAGTTTTACTTTCATTTTGAAGACCCCACCTGCTTCGGTTTTGCTTCTTAAGGCTGCAGGTATGGTTGTTTTCTGTTCTATCATTGTGCCCTCTATCTGTTTGATGTGTTGCTCATGCATTGGCATTTCGTTGTACCGGAAGATATGTTACCGTGTTTATTTTGTAATTGCTGCTGCTCAATCAGTGGATAAATGCAGATGTTCTTGTGATAAGCTTTGTTTGTATTTCGTGCTCTCAAGTTGTTTCTAGAATGTTATATCTTATCAATAAACAAAAACGTGAAAAATGAGGGAAAGTAGTGGAATGAAAATTGGTGTTATGTTTTCATGGCTGGCTGGCCGTATTTATTGCCAAATAGGTATTCATGTATTTGTTTTGATGTGTTAAAAGTTGGAAGCATTTTGAATTACATGAAGAAAATGAAGAAAATTTGATCAATGTGAGGAATGTGGAGTTTGCCGTTATGATATGGCCGTTGAGTTTTCATCTGGCAATTAGTTCGGAATAGTATCTCATTCGATTGAACCATAAACTTGAGCAGCTACCATAATTTCCAGAGTGAAGATTAGATGAAGTTGACCTATTAATTGGTTTTGATTATATCTGTCTGAGCCACTGTTTTGAGAACTATCACTATTCTCGACTGGTTGAAATAGTTCGGCTTGTTTATTATAGTACATAAGTTCTCTGTGTAGGACGCTCATTCTTTATTTAAGAACCCACAATATCAACATAGTATCAACAATGTCCCGATATCATTGTCACCTCATCTATGTTCATCGTAGGACCAGTCACATAACAATATTGCCCTCATTAAAAGCTCTTCCTTGCCTGAATTTGGTTACCATAACGATGCAATACTTGTTTATCAATGCTGCGGATGATATATAGGAGCGGAGAAAGGTTCAAAAGACCCGAAGATGGAGAAAGTGGGAAAGGTCACCATTGATCAGCTGCGAACAATTGCGCAAGAAAAGCTGCCGGACTTGAATTGCACGACAATAGAATCCGCAATGAGAATCATAGCAGGCACTGCAGCTAATATGGGGATCGATGTCGACCCTCCTGTTCTAGAACCCAAAAAGAAGGAAGCTCTGCTGTAATTCTGCTCCCAACATTTTGTATCCTCGATTAGGCTTTGTTTCTTAAATCATATATTGTAAGATTCTACAGGACTGATGGAAGTCAGCATGTAAAAACTCTCACCTCCAGTTTTCGTTATTGGTTATAAAATTCTAATTCTTCATCCTTTTATTCCATATTGCTGTGGTTTCTTTTCTCTTGACCTCTTTTTACCGTATTTTTGGGTCCCTCCGGGTCCATTGTAGCGGTTGTTGGAAGATAAAGCGAAAGCTGACTTCTACTTCAAGCAACCTGAGATCAACTGGGAATGAGGGAATTGAGATCCTTTCCTGATCTCTGTTTCTAGAGTCCAAGGATCAGGAGATCCGGACCGTTGAAGAGAGAGATTCGAACCTTTGATTTGTGTAAGGTGGGCCATGGGTTAATGAGGGTAGGACTTAAAATGAGTGATTTAGATCCCCTGGTCCTTGGGTTGAGTTTTTACAATTCAAGCACTCTGTAACCTAGTTGATGGTAATTATCTGGTCATCAAGAAATTGAATTTGAAATTTCTTTCAACATTGAGAAGAGAAGTGTTAGGAACCATCACAAAGTGACCTAGTGGTTGGAGACGAATTCCAGGTTCGTATTCCACATGGCAAGTCCTGAATTCAATTCTTGACGCTGGTAAATCGTACAATGGTGGCAAGGCAAGGTCGAATTGTCTCTGTGAGTCTTTCCAGCCCCCATAATACTGGCCATGATGAAGCCACTGGCTGGTCCCCTTTTTAAGAGAAAAGAAATGTTGGTGAACTTTATAAATACAAACGATATTTTACACTAAAAAGAAAGAGAGATCAAACCGAAATGTACTGAGCAGACCTTAACGACCAATCGACCTTTTTGGTATTATTCAGCTTCATTATTTGGATTTGGAATCTGGATTTATAAATTGAATAAGACTCGGTGGAATATGGGTGTCGTCCACCAGTTTGTTTTCTGCCCTGCTTCATAATGGAGTAGGATTCCCTTATTTCTTTTTTCTTTTCTTTTTTTCTCTCTTTCTATTTAAATAATCACGGTTAAATCACGTTAACATCTTATATTAATTTTTTATAAAAAAAGAAAAACAAAATATAAAATATAAAAAGAAGGTAGGAAAGAGGATGAAAATATTAGAGAAGAGAATCCTAATCCCTTTATAATTGTCCATGCCAGGTCTGATTTTCCCTTTTTTGTGTGTGCGTTGCGTTTAATAATTGTGCCATTGACCAAACAATAAAATTGACATTTGAAAAAATGGACTATTCATCCGCATGCTGCGGAAGATAACATTGCTGATAACCAACTCAAAGTGCTATTTCTTCATAAATTCATTTAATTTTTTAGGATTATACTTGAGTGCTGATTTATACACTTTATCCACACTATACTTTTCGTTTTTTAAAGTACTAATTATAGTAGAACTTTGATAATTTAATAACTGATAAATTAATAATGCGAACTCAAAGTTAAGATGTTGAAGATGTTTTTGCATTTTTTTTTTGAATTTTCTGAAGGGAATTATTATTAACATTCCAAAAGTCTCATTTTACGCTTTTAAAGTGTATTTTTCTTTCTAATTATAGAAAGATTGGAGTGCAAAATGAGATTTTTGAAGTGCCAATAACAATTCTCTTTCTGAAAAGCCTATTGTTTCATAACAAAGTCGCATAAGAAGGCGTTCTGTCAGAACTAAATTATGTAACAAGGATGAATAATCGATAAATTTATCAAATTTTTACTTAATATGACTTAAGTGCAATGGAAATGTCGCTCATTTTTTACTGAAAGATCACAAGTCCAAGTCATAGAAATAACATATTTGTAAAACAAAAGTAAGCTGTATACGATAAACGTTTCTCTTTTCCTCTTCACATAATTCAAATGGTTGTATTCCCACTGGTCCTGCAAAAAACGAAAATCGACAATATTGTTAGAAGATTCACAGAAAACCTCCACAATCATCTAGTTTGGGACCAAGGTACAATTATCTTCTCTCCTCTTCTATGTTTTGCGGGGGAAACGATATGTTGGGTATCATTCGATTGAATGTATGCACAAAAAAAGATACCATACACACGCATGTATGTGTTTCAAAAATTAAGAGAGAAAAAAAAAATGCATATGTTGCATTTTAGTTTGTATAAAACTTGTGGTACATTTACAAAAGGGTAATCGGAATAAAAAAAAGACACTAAATTTCGATTGGAGTACTCCAATATTTACTCAATATTGGGAATTAAAAATTTTAGTAGCATCCACACAAATTTTAGAATCCTACTCTAAAATTTGGAATAATTGGATTTTCTACCATTTGAAGAGAATTGAATTCCGGGTTGTTGGAGAAGCCGGAATAGATTTTTCCTCCCCGTTGTATTTCTTAAATTTCAAGATTGTCTTCTCATTAACCTAACACCAAATTTTGTTCAATCAATAAAACACAAGTAAAAAATAATTAAATTTAAAGTTTTCTCACGAAATTAAAATAAAAGTTTTACCAAAAAAATAAATCAAAATAAAAGAATTAGCATATAAAATAGATTACTAGAATAAAAGCATTTTAGTAATCAAATTGATTCATTCCGATTGACATAAAGTACTAAATAACTTTATATAGTTCAACATTATTTCTAAAAATTTAAATAAATAATTTTAACAAAAATCTGATTCTAATTCCTTTCTGTATACGAATTCGTTAACGAGTCAGATTCTGATTGTATTAGTATAAAACTAATCATTAAAGAGACAGCGACTATTAAAATGTTATTAGACTGTTGAAAGGACTATAAAAAAAAAAACAATCCAGTGATTGGCGGCCCAAAAGCCGAAAGCCTTTTAAAAGCAAAATAATAAAATCAGTCCTTTATTGTCATTGATTGAGAAGCAAACAAGGAATGCAAATCATCATCAAAAGGACAGCCAATATTTACACAACCCGAGACTCTACACTCTAATTTTTACACCTATCTGAAACACAAAGTTGGGATTTTCAGCCCATTATCTTTGAATATATATATATATATATATATCCATCAATATCAAGTTCCAAGCCTCAATAATATTCTGAGAATCTGAGGACCCCCGCCGTTCTTTTGTAGGTCAAATTGTATAAAACCAAAGATCCGCCTATATTATCTGCTTCCACTCCCCCTATTGAGCAGTACTGCAATCAGAGGTATCTCTCTCTATCTGAATTCATTATGTCATTGTTCAAGTTTCGATTTTTATGTGCTGAAATCCATAAATCCGATGTCGTTTCGATTACCCAGATCCTGAAATCGAGGGAGGGTTAGAGTTTTCAATGTTATCTCATTTGGGTTCTGTTGGATTGGATTGGATTACATGTTTTGGATTTTCCTCTGTTTTTTTCTTCACTTTTTAGGTGAAGTTGCTTGAAGGGTCTCGTGATTTTTGTTGGTTGTGTTAATGCATACGTTGCCCATGAGTATAAAGTTTTCTTGCTTGCAAGTTGGGTTTTTGAAAGATCAGTTTCCATAATTTATATGATTTTTATGTTCTTTGATTAAGGTACGCATTCCCTGTTTGTCTGCTTGGTGTCCTTTGCTTTGCTTCTCACTGAAAGTTTAAGATTTTGTTCTAATTTTTTTCGTTTAAGGACTTTGCTGACAGAGGATTGCTCAATCATACCCTCTCCTCTATATTGTTTCATGTTTGCCTCGTGATTTTTTTTTCAGTTTATTCTTATGTATAATGTATCTGAATCGAATTTCCGTGATGAGGCGGTAGCTGTACTGTGTTTTTCTTCAACTAAGTAGGTAGTGGTTATTGTATAAGCATTAATGTTGTAGTGATGTATATTGTTGTTGCTTCAGACGAATCATACCATATGTTTGTTGTCGAAAGGGTCACGGTGCTTGACGTACATGAAGGAGCACTGCCTAAAATGCTTCTACACAGAAAAATACCAAATACAATTTTCAGTACTTTTCTCCCTTCAATTGTTTGTGGCTTGGCTTGATTCTTGTTGCAAATTTTTGGTTGTAAACTCCTTGCACTTTTGGCTTATGAGCTAATTTTCGGATTTGAAGTGCAGTATTTGTAAAAGCTGTTTATAATCTTATTGAACCTGTGATTATGATTTGTTTGGTAGACAAATGTACATTAAGTAGGTTGGATTTGGATATATGGAGGATGGTTGGGTAAATATCGGATTGAGCAGAGTGCATTACAACCTTTGTCTACAGTTGGAGTATTCTGTTAGGCGGCTGTTATTCAAATAAACTAGTTAGGGAGGTTACATAAGAAAACGCATATTTCATTTGCTCCTATTGATTTTCAGGACAGCCAATGAGAAACTTGTTGAGGTGCTTGTTTTCTTTATATCGTTGTTGTTTGCTGTCTTGTATTCGTTGAGTTAGCTCTATGTTGTCTTTCTCCCGCTGTATTCTCAAGCTTCTTTTTATTAATTAGCATGTGATTTGTATGTTTATATCTAACAAAGATTTACAGCATTTGCCTTATAAAATTGACTAAGGCCCCGTCTCTTTACATTTCTTGTTGCCTTCCAGATGGAAGCTCAAAATTCTGGGAATTCGCATATGATTGAAGTATGTGGTGATGTGCAAGATATGGATATGAGCTTGGGTGGGAGAAAAATTTGTGGAGATGGACCATGCGGATTTTCAGATGCTAAAACCAGTTCCAAAGATGCACAGGAACGGTCAGCGTCCATGCGGAAGCTTTTGATAGCGGTTATCCTGTGTGTCATTTTCATGAGTGTGGAGGTTGTTGGGGGTATCAAAGCCAACAGTCTTGCAATTCTCACTGATGCGGCTCATTTATTGTCAGATGTTGCTGCATTTGCAATTTCTTTGTTCTCACTTTGGGCATCAGGATGGGAGGCAACTCCTCGTCAGTCTTACGGTTTCTTCCGGATTGAAATACTTGGTGCTCTTGTTTCCATTCAGATGATTTGGCTGCTTGCTGGGATCCTTGTTTATGAAGCCATTGCAAGACTTATCCATGACACTGGTGAAGTTCAAGGCTTTCTCATGTTTGTTGTTTCTGCGTTTGGTTTAGTGGTGAATATTGCCATGGCACTCTTATTAGGTCATGATCATGGGCATGATCACGGACATGGGCATGGCTACGGACATGGCCATGGTGGGCATGGTCATGGACATGGTGATCATAATCATAGTCATGAGGATCATGATGACACACATAACCATGGGATTACCGTGACCACACATCACTCTCATCATCATATTCATCATCATGAGGTGCACTCGAATCATGATGACAAACACCATCATACCGAGGTAGTTAACATCTCAGAACCTCTGCTCAGTCATAGCTCTGAAGGTGAAAAGAAACAAGTAGGCAAAAAGAAGCAACGAAACGTCAATCTGCAGGGGGCTTATCTTCATGTACTTGGCGATGCCATTCAGAGTATTGGAGTGATGATTGGTGGAGGGATTATCTGGTACAAGCCTGAGTGGAAGATTATTGATCTGATATGTACCCTTGCATTTTCAATAATTGTGCTGGCGACAACAATCCGGATGTTGAGGAACATTTTGGAGGTTCTGATGGAGAGTACTCCTAGAGAGATTGATGCCACAAAGATTGAGAAAGGTCTCTGCGAGATGGACGAGGTAGTTGCCATTCACGAGCTGCACATATGGGCAATAACTGTTGGGAAGGTGTTAATGGCTTGTCATGTTATCGTTAAGTCGGATGCTAATGCTGATGTGGTGCTGGAAAAGGTTATAGACTACATCAAGAGAGAATATAATATCAGTCATGTAACGATTCAGATAGAGCGACAGTAATGCTGGAGAGAGACGATTTGTCTATGCCCAACCGTTATAATTAGGTCAGTCTGGTGTTTTTAAGACTTCAATTTTTTCCCCACAGTTGACAGATCATAATCTGTTATCTCATTGGTTTGCTCTTAAGTTCCTTGTTTTTAAATCTACTTATCTTGTGAATGCATGAAAGTTTAGCATAATGTCTTTGAAACACAAAAGATTACAATAACGAAACATCTCCAACTGGAAACTACATATTCTTAAAAAGCAGAACAAGCAACTTGAATGTCTGAAAATCCTGCTTCTTTTCCCAAACTTTTGTAATTCTCTCTGCTCTCCTTCTCCATCGCATTGGTATTCATTAGGTACACATCAAACTGAAACAAACTTCTAGCAATTCATCAGTATCATCAAGCATCGATCGTCATTTGCAGAAGTTGAAAGTTGTCGAAAGTGCAACCAGTCGAATGATATGGGGTATTATCGATTTGAACACAAAACTAAAATGTAGGGGTAAGACTAGTATAGAAAATTTTGACAAAAAGGATTATCTCATCCAAAGTAGATGTTTGCTTTTGAACATGCTCTATAAATAAGGAATTGAATAATTCTCAGAAACCTCACCTTCATGAAAATAGCATTGCCTTTCGGAATCCTCACAAACATATCTTCTGCAGTGTGCTCTATACCTGAAGCAAAACTCTTCCGTAAGTTAGCAAAGCAAAGTGAACTACGAAGAGCTACACAAGATTGTCTGATGCTAACCAAAAAATTTATCTCATACTGCATTGACACCCTTCAAGCCATTAACAGCTTCCCAACAGTTAACACGAGATTGTCCGATGCTAACCATTTGAAAGATGCATCTTTCAAATGGTACCTGCAGAAATGGTGACATGAATATGACCGCAGTCTTTTAACACGCTAAATGGGAGCCCTCCCAACAAAACTGCATCTTTCAAATGGTGCCTGCAGAAATGGTGACATGAATATGACCGCACTGATGATGCAAAAGAAAAGAACATGTTCAGCTCTTTACTTGTAAATCATAGTTTGATATGTATACCGAAGTAATTCGTTTAAAAACAAAAAAAAGGAAAAAGTTTTGCACACGTGTCAGACTGCAATCTGGGTTGCGGAGAGATCGAAGCTGAGAAGCTATTTGGGAAGGCGAAAGCAGGGCTCCGGGGCAATCTCTGTGTATAATGTCAAGCACACCAAACTCTATGGCTGCTTTAAGCACCATGGGCAATACTGATCCGCTTACCAATTGCATTGCATATTGGGAGTGAGCTTCCTCTTCTCCATTAATGGTGGAGATTTTCAGCTGTTTTTTTCCTTCTTTTGGAGTTTCGATTTTTTGTTTGGAATACTGGTTTATATTGCTGTGAAAATTATATAGACTTGAAAGGTGAAAAGGGTTTTCAACTTCATCAGATTCTGATATTCTTAGTTGCTAATTGAAGAATTTGTGACATGAGACTAATCTGTGTTACCTTCTGTCTTTCTAGGCTTGACTACACAATGTTTTTTTATTTCAAAGTCGGTTTTCTTCTAGAAAACAAAGAGATGTCGCGTATTTTCTTTTAATTAAAAGATCATGGATTAGTGGTTTTTCTGAACATTTCGTAAGCATGAGGTCTCAACTTTGACTTATGTGAAAAACGAGTTCGACACTAAAGTATTGTGGATGACCATTGTGTTTCTACCTCAAGTATTATACTTGGCCCAAGCTCTAGGATTCTCACTCCCCCATTCACAGATGTTCTCATCTTATTTTCTTCTATTCCTTTAATGAGTTAAATAACTATTTATTGAGTTTGAATACTTGGATATTAACCAGAAACATAACACATGGCAACTCGTGATTGAACAAAGTAAGGAGCTCTTCAAGTCATGGCCTTGAGCCATATTCTCAAATAAAACTAATAGTTGTAGCAAATTCGAATCGACATCAATAATATCAACATCATGGTCATATTTTATAGATTGTAATTTGAATTCGTATATATATTAATGAACCTAAGAAAAAGCAATAGTCGAAATAATTTCAATAACTATTCCAGATATATAGAACAAATTTTAAGGTAATATTTGCACTTAAAAAAAGACAACATGTTCATGTGGGTTTGAACAAGTCTAAGCAACATTCACTTTCAAGTCCTCTATTCCAGAAATTTTTGAAGTATTCAGCATAAGTGAAGTTCCTGAACATGGCTAGATGGTCATGGTTGATGAGCTCCTTGGCAGGCCCAATCATTGCATCTGGTGCTGGACAGTAGAAAGTTGGGATCGATATCCTCTCCGAATTACAATTTACCACGGCCCTATGCAGCACACTCTTGTACTTACCGTTGCTAATTACCTAATACCAAATAAAATGGTAAAAAAAAAATTAAAATTCAATTACAGTTTACTCATGTACATGTCACAAAAACTTTGTCCCAAGTTTCCCTTGCTAGGGATAAATGAGTTTAACCATCCCGAGTGTGATGCAACCATCTATTATTTCTCTCCTCATGTAACCATTTAGGTGTGAACAAAGATAAAAAAAAAAAAATCAAGATTTCATGCGCTGTGACAGGGATCAATTATGGAAAATATTTTGGGGGATTTTTTTAATATGCTCTTAGAAATTCTATACACTAGATCATAGATGGTCTTTTGGCCATTAGATCCTTCATCATGAATCCAGTAACTAAAATTTAAAGGCCAAAATTCTCGCTTAATAGGATACATCAAAACATAGTAAAATTTTCGATATTTAGACGGATATAATGTTTACCTGCATCATATCACCAATATTGACAATGAAGGTGTTGGGAATGGGGTTGACAGCAACCCACTTGCCATTTCTAAGGACCTGCAACCCAGGCACCTCATCTTGGAGAAGGATGGTAATTAGGTTAGCGTCAGTATGTCCAGGCAATCCATAAGTCAGCTCTGGCTGTGGACATGGTGGATAGTAATTCAAAGCCATATGCTGTCCTTGCTTTCCCAATGCCTTAACAATATAGTTCTTTTCCAAGCCCAAGCTCTCTGATATGCCCTCAAGCAATCTCAGCACTAATCCTCTCACACTTGTGCAGTACTCACCCACTTGCTCCCTGTAAACAAACAAAGTGCCAGCTCATTCAATTGTATGACTTAATTTATTAATAAAATAACTCTAGCAGAACAATGTTCTCTTGTCAGACTATGAATGTAGATCATTAATTGGTTTTTTGTCAAGATCTCTAGTTCATATTCAATTTTGACAAGATGAGCATTTGTTTCGCAATGTGAGCTGACAAAAGAGCGCTACTTGAGATGATTACAAAAAGGCACCCCTATTTAACTAAGTTAATGAATTCAATTTGGATAATATGCTCTTGTTAGACTACGTATATTTGTTTAGATTCTGACAAATATAAGTTTGGTAAGAGAACGCTAGTCAGTTTGAATATTTGAGTACTAACAGAAGACGATGAGAAAGAGGCACCCCCTATTTACCTGAACAACGGGGGATTGTTAGGCCATTCTTGGACATAGTCTTGAAGTGGGAAGCAATGCAGTCTAAGGAAGTCCCTCCAGTTGGACAGTTTTTCAGTCCTGACATTGAAACTGGTGGAGAGCCTGGTGGTCTTAGAAGGGTCATCTGAGTACATCTTCAACCTCTCACTTTCTGGTAATTTGAAAAACTCTCTTGCTATACTCAACATGTTTTTGATCATTGTCTCTGGAACTCCATGATTTTTCACCTGGTAAGAAAAAGGAATATCACTATTAGTCTTATTATATAAAATAACTAAATTATGCACCAACCTTTTTATTACCAGGTGAAAAATCATGAAGTTCTAGAGACAATTATAAAAAACATGTTGAGTATAGCAAGAGAGTTTTTCAAATTACGACTGAGTACATCTTCAACCTCTCACTTTCTGGTAATTTGAAAAACTCACTTGCTATACTCAACATGTTTTTTACCATTGTCTCTAGAACTCCATGATTTTTCACCTGGTAATAAAAAGGTTGGTGCATAATTTTGTTATTTTATATAGTAAGACTAACAGTACTCATATACGTACTCAGACTAAACATGTAATTAAGTATAAGGTGGTGGGATATATATATACAAGGAAAAACAAAGGCACTAAGCAACAGGTATGCAAAAGAAAAAAAAGTGTGTCGAAATCATTTCCCGAAGTATATACATATATGTGTGTGTGCGTGTGTGTGTGTGTTAATTATTACCCGGAAGAAACCATCAATTTGGCATGCTAGACCAATCTGTTTGATAATATCAGAGTGCTTGGGGCCATGGAGGTCCTTGAGATCAATGAGAGGAATGGAGGAGGCATCTGATGTCTGAACATCAGTGAGATTTGGACGGTCGGAGAAGGGTCTGATGTAGTTTGAAGGGACATGGTTCACACCAGACATGAGGTCTGTGAGCAGTAGCTTTGTTGTGGAAGCCATTTTGCTTACGAAGAGAAAAGTTGCAAAACTAAGGAAACTTGCAGGTTTAGTGAACGGGGCTTTGGATCCCTATCCCTTTTTATAGAATATGAGGAAGCACTATTATATAGAAAATGTTTTTTTTTCCCCAAAATTGTCACATTAGTTTAAGAACTATATATATGATTTGAAGGGTAATGGCTAGAGAGGTCAAATTTCTAAGTTAAATTTTGTAAACCAAACAATGTGAACATTGATGATTGAATTATTATTTAAGTATTTTCTTGTATCTCTCTTCACGTGTTTTGCATAAATCAAATTGACGAAAACTAATTATTTTTTTATTTAGTTGAAGTATAGTTTATTTTCTCTCTTATTATGTGATATATCTTTATATCTAAGCAATCATAAGCATATGCCCTTTCACTATAGAGTACATCTATTTCTCATATTTCTCTCATCATATAACTTAACAGATGTGTCTATCTCGTCTATCTCATCTATCCTAACCATTTGCCCTTTCTCTATAAAGATATAGCAATGCAAAGAAACCATTAGTTATACAGATGTATACTGTACGTGTCTCTCCGTTCCGTGAGTTGAGTTTAAGACGTTCGGCCCCAAAAAATGAGTTGGGTTTGGTTGTTCTAGTTGTCAGGTCGCCATGCATCAACTGTTGCTGATGCATGTGATGGAGATCCACCAACTTCTCACCATGGAGTACAGGCAGATTTATGCGAGGTAAGCAAATGACATCTTTCTGCTATGTCATTCCCTAATGCAACTTAAAGGAATATTCAATTTAAGACTTTTTAGTTAAAATAGTCCATGAGATTTGCATAACATATAATTTTGGTTTTTGAGATTTAAAATCAATAGAAGTGATCCCCGAGATTATTCACCATCCATTATTTTGGTCATTCCGTTGAAAAATTCCGTTAAATTAAGGGTATAACACATAACTTTGGTCCTGAAGATTTGCATAACACATAATTTTGGTCCCTGAGATTTGCATAACACATAACTTTGGTCCCTAAGATTGTCCATCATCCATCATTTTGGTCATTCCATTAAAAAGCTCAGGGACCACTTAACATAGATTTTTAATGGAATGACCAAAATAATGGATGGTGGACAATCTTAGGCACTACTTCTATTGATTTTAAATCTCAGGAACCAAAGTTATATGTTAAGAAAATCTCAGGGACCATTTTGGCTTAAAAGCCTCAATTTAATAGAAGAGAAATGTGAAGGAGATTTTTTATTAATTCTTTGTACCTCACAGTTTAACGTCAATTTTCATGTTAATATTGTAAATATTCTGTCAAAAACATGAAGCAACGAAAAATTCATAAATAATTTTACTTTAAGAGAGTCTTCTTAGCATTTCTCATAAATAAAAAGTAGTACGGGAAATAGAAGGATGAAATATTTTTTTAATTGAATTTTTTAAAAGGTTAGTACTATTATGATATTACACACACACACACACACACACGCTCCTTGTGACAACCCGTCCCTAAATTTATGTTTTTATTTATTTGAATCGAGGGAATTGATGAAAATGCCCCTAGAGGCACAAACTTTGACTTCGGTGGAGCACACACACACACACACATACACGCTCTTTGTGACAACCCGTCCCTAAATTTACGTTTTTATTTATTTTAATTGAGGGAATTGACGAAAATGCCCCTAGAGGCACAGACTTTGACTTCCGTGGAGCATCATCTAGAGAAATGTATGACTTATTCCTTTAGCGCATTGGTGTAGTACTCGTTGGTACGAACACAGAGGCAAAAGTCGTTTACGAGTTCAGATTATAACGGTATAGTTACAGACGTTTGAAAGTGGTTATTTATATTTTAGTTTATAAAGTGTTAAACTCCCACCTCGTGAGAAGACTGACCAATCAGATTAAAGGGTAAGGACCAATTAGAAAATAGGAGAAGAGAAGCAACCAATCAGAGGAGAGAGAGAGAGAGAAACATCTTTT